TTTTAATATATAATAATAATCAATATTATATGAAAAGAAGTAATATTTTAAATACTGTACATTTGAATTTTTAAATGCGTCTTTGGTGTCGGCCGCAGCCTGGACGAGCATTGTCTGAAGGCAGATTGGTTGGTCACATTTTGTTCATTAACCTTGAGGACAGCTGCTCGATTGTTGGGTGGAAGTGCATTATTCAGTGTTCTGACTGAGATGGCTGTTCTGTTGCTACACGGGGTTCTTTATTGTGCACGAGTACACTGTAAATTGCTCTGTTGTTATATGCCTTTCTGTACTGTGAGTATACCTTGAGTGTGACTGTTCTATTGTTACACGGGGGTTACTATATGGTGAGGGTGTATTTTGTGCGTAACACTTCTATTGTTTAACAGGATTGCTATACTGTGAGTGACTGTACCGTATGGACGATTCGTGTTGTTACGTGGGTTTACTATATTGTGAATGTACAATGTGTGCAATAGTTGTGTTGGTACATGGTTTTTTTACTGTGTGAGTGTACCTGTGTGAGTGACGGTTCTGTTGTTACATGGGGTTACTATACTGTACTATGACTACCTTGTGGACGAGTGCCATCGTTACACGGGGTTGCCATGTTGTATGTTGTTGTTCCTTGTGGATGACAAATCTCTTGCCACACTGGGTCACAAAACTGTGTTAGAGTATCTGACACGAAGTCTTCCAATAGTTGCGAGAATAGAGGCAATTAATAAAAATGTACTTTAAAGCAAGTTTTTTCTTGTTGACGTTGGTTCTTGAACTTGGTGAACCGAGTGTTATTGTAGGCCGGCGGCCTATACATTTCCCAGCTGAGGCTTCAAGGCTGCTGTTTCATTATTAGCGTTGTGTAGCGTTTGAAGTTGATGAATTAGCTGATGAATGAATTTGAAGCTTTGAAGCCGCGCAGCTCTTTGTCTTCCACGTGTTACTCTGTTAGGTGTTAGTGTGTAAGGTTAGCTGCCTGATTACGTCGTTGTCTGTAAGATAAAGATATTTTCTACCACAGTCTTGCAGGAATCTTACCAACTATCACCTTTGTAATGCATTGTATCATATTGTGATAAAATCTGAGGTCTGTTTTCAAGAGAGGGTCTAAACAAATAAATATATATATATTATGTGCAAAAAAACCACAAAGAAATGGGAAAGAGAGGTGAACGTTTCGGCCTGTTAGAGCCTTTGTCAACACCAGACTCAATATTATGTATATAATATATATATATTTATGTATGTTGAAGAAATTATAGTTTAATAACATGTTTATATAAACCCAAATCTATATGAGATGGCCAGCAAAGATAGAATTAAGAAGGATGAGTTGCGTAACGTTCCCACATAGGCTCCGTGGCTAGTTCGCCTTGGCCTCACCATGCATCTTTAACGAGGTGACTCATGATGAGGCTCCGGCTGACTTTTTGAAATGAGTCAGTGCGAAACAGTATTGAAATAAAGTGGATGATATGAATTTTTGTATTATTTATACATCTTTAAATGAAAATGACATACTCAGTTGCATTAAATAAATTATTGATTCTTGTGGCCAATTGTATGCAGGCCTACAAATAAAATTCTTAACGAGCAAATTATTTTCCCAGCATATGTTAATTTGTTATATGCAAGATACATTGGGATGTAAGAGTACATAATATCGGTGTTGGGTCGTGTGTAAACCGTTTTCATTCATAAACCAACCCGTCCTCTGACCAAGCCCATTCCATCCAGCGGTCGACCCCCAAAGACGCATTCATAAATTTTAATATGCTGTTCACTCAAAGCAGGAATTTTCTCAATATAAAAAATATTAATATATATTTATCATATTGTACATATGTAGGCACTGGTTAGGTTAAGTGTTTAGGTTCTGTTGGCGATTATTTGTATTTGTAGTACGCGAGTGAAGCATTTACAGTGTTGTGGTTCAAACAAAATTCGTCAGTGAAGCATTTGTTCCGGAAGTGTTCGCGAACGTCATCAGTTGTGAGTTGTGTGTAAACCGTTTTTCATTCATAAACGGGGTTTTGCGGGTTCGTGGAATGGACTTTGGGACTTTATTTAAAGGACGGGCTGCATAAACTGGGGGGTTTGCAACCCTTCCTCATAAACAAAGGTCAAAGTCTATTCCATGCTCCCGCCAAACCCCATATTACATTAAAAAACGGTTTACACACGACTAAACTGATGACGTCCGAACACTTCCTGAACAAGTGCTTCGCTGACGACTTTTGTTCGAACCACAACGCTGTAAATGCTTCACCCACGTACAACAAATACAAACAATGCCAACAGAACCTAAACACCTAACCTAACCAATGCCTAAATGTGCACATTATGCTAATATATAACAAAATTAATATATATGAGAAAATTCCTATTTTGAATAAGCAGCATGTTAAAATTGATGAATGCGTCTTAGGGGTCGACCGGTAAATTGAATGGACTTGGTCTGAGGACAGGTTGAGAGGATCAACAAGGTGAAGCAAAGACGAAGCCTAACGCACCGGAACCCGACCTTCCATCTCGGTCCAACTCTGGAGCCTGGTCGCAGTTTCGACTCATAGTTGTGTCAAGAGAGTGCACATTCAGATTCGCCGGGATCCAGATTTATTACTTAGAATTACACTGAGGTGTAATTCCTAAACAGCTCTTGTTGTCCTGAGGTTAGACATCACATGGTGGCCGCTACGTGATATCAAATTATTTAAATAAGACGAAAAACATAGTAAGGCATATACAGGGTAGGCCACAGCAGCAGCCATCTTTGTTGGTTCAAAATGGGGGATTCGGAGCAAGGGGACGGCAAGACCTGGGGCCGCTTCAACCATCAAAAAGACAACGGTGATGTCCGGTAGGACGTCTTGGAGCGAGAAGCCCACATTCCATGCCAAGACCACTCGTTACGGTAATGTACAATCTATGTTCTTTAAGACAATAGGCGACTGGCTTATTGTATTGATTGATTGGTTCAATAATAAACCCAATAGTATTGATGCTGATACTGCATCAATCACCCAGCACGCAAAGTTAACTGTTCGCCATTTAATTACCGAATCCCGGAATTGATTTGTTATTGGAACAGACGTGAGGTTACCACAAGACTTGACAATCTCGTGAGACTGCGGGGATATGACATAAGTCCAATGGAGTGACGACTGTGATGGAAAGAGGAGTGAACCGCTTATTAATAAGCCTAGAACTCTATCCTTTGCATCCTCCTGCTGCCACCAGTGACAGCTGGTGTATCGTGCCTGACTGGTCCAGCCTTCACATCTCGCCAGTTATTCCTTACACCTATACAACTTCACGTGCGGCATTATGTAGCTGTCATACACCTGCAGTCTTACGTGATTGTTAAGTTTTGTGGTTACCTCGCTTCCATTGCAATTATATAACAAATCAATTCCGGGATTCGGCAGTCTCGGAATAATTCAGTCATTATATAGACTAAAAGTTCATACCATCTGCGAAGTGAATGGATGAGTGGGTGTAAAGGGAGATCGGTCCTACACAAGTAGGAATTCAAAGTTGAACCAAATAGGTTCAACTTTGAAGTTTTGTTTGTGTCTGTGAGGTGATCTCGTGGGATCAACTTAGTCTAACTTTTCTAACTGAACACCTACAGCAGGTCAAGGATTAATTGAGGACTGTTGGTGGACACCTGACTAACTTATGTTGAGGCGGGAATAACACCCGACTTAGTTGTCACAGTATAGTGACGTGTGTCGAAGGTTACTTATATACTTACAACTTATATACTTATAGAAACGCTTACGTGTTTATTGATGATTTGCCTCCACATGTAAACCTGAACGTCTGATTAGAGCTCCATGTGTCCCCCATTGATAATTACAGTGATATGAAGCAGTGCTAATGGATGGAAATCAGGCATTCAGTTGGACTATCACATGTTCCCCTATTCGGGTTAGTTATGTTTTGATCCCAGTAAAGAAACCCCAAGCGTATTCGAGATAAGTTTTGTTGAATAAACTTGTTACCAAAAAGTCTTAGCAAAGCCTACTACGAAATAATCAGACTTCCCTTGCATATCCAGTGACACTAGCATAAATCATAAATAATGAATTATGACAACCTTAAGTACAACATGATCCCTGGAACAGCACCTGTCTGAAATGGCCACCCACGGTGAACTTGTTAAGCCTTAAGCCCAACTCGTCAAGCCCTACCTTGACAACTTTGACCTAAGAATGTGTGGCACTGCTCTGGCATCTATGTGCTTTCTTTATGACCTCTGCCGGCTGTCGGTCATATTCAAATAGGATACATTATCAGGCAAGGTTGTCATGGGAAAAAATTACACAAAGGAGATCACCTACCAGGGCAGTGAGGGAGGCAAAGTGCTTGGCTAGAGCAGGAAGGGGCGTGTTGTCCCAAGTTATGTACCTGCTCTTTAATGAGGGAGTTCTACTACATTGAACAATTCCCAACAGTGGTGCAAATACCTCTTTCTCCCTCATGCACCAACCCGGACACTAAGCCTACCTTGGAAAGTGGCCTTCCCACAGGCTGCTACTCTTGATGCGGGTGGTCCATTGACCCAAACAAGAAATCTACGTGGTTTCTTCACACGCACAATATTGTACCAGGAGAGAATGGGTAGGGACAGAGACAATCCCCCCTCAAAGACCCCAGGGTGCCATATGTGAACCACCTCACCTTGTCAAGGTGAAATCCTTGAAGGAATAACATTCAACAAAATGTGCAACTGTTAGTGGGGTAATGCAATTCTGACAGTAATGTGCAGAGCTCTGTTCCATTAAGTACAGTACCCATGACTTAATCTTGTGGAGCCAATGTATAACCAAGCTAAAGATGTTTTCCACTTATATGATGCCTAAAGGAAGGCCATAGAAATAAGTCACACTAAATAGTATGGCATCTTGTTATTCAGAATATCTAACCATTTGCAGATACTGTAGTGGGAAAAAAAGAAGCAACAACTTTAAGAAGGGAAACTCTAAAGGTCACAATTTTTGTGCTCATTTATTTTTGCTCCATGCATCTTTAACAAATGCAATTTTTTTTATAAAGATTTTCATTATCAACAATGCTTCCACAACCATTGCAAACATAACTCACTTAACTACTCCTTTTTTTTTTCAGGATAAGTATACACAAACTAAATCTCATACAGATAATTGATCAATACATAGTAATTTAAACAATCATTTCAATAATTCACTGCATTTCTTAACCCTTAAAGAGTGGTTATCATCATATGTTGATCTCTAGGTGAATATGGTTATCGTCATTTGCCAATTTTAGCTAATAGCACCAGGTTTACACCAAAATTATATAAATACCTCTATATGGACATAATGAATTTAATGAAAACCCATGGAAAAAGACTGCACATTTTGCAATGAGACTATCATACACTACTGGCTTGTGGTTATCATCAGATCACAATATGCCAATACCCACCAGTGTTTTTTGTAAAGACATTACTAGATGGAATAACAGCAAAGAGTGGGCTGCATGGCACTTCCTTTGAGCAGTGCTGCGAACAGGTGTACATATTACATTGTAAGCCTATATACAGTAATCCATCACTGCTTTCATCAATTATGTGTACATAAATCACATAAATCAAGTTATTCAACACTGTGTAAACTAAAGAGATGCAACAAACATGAAAACCATCAAAATTCAAAATGGGTACTCACTCCATCCAATGCCTCCCCCGTCAATGGTATATGAAGCTAGATTTTTTTCCGTTAAAATTCAACATTCCACAAGTAATTATTTAATTTTTTGTTTATGCACAGTTAAGGTGTCATATTTTATGATTGCCATTCTTTGAGGGTTACGCAAAAATTATATTTAGCCACACCAAAAGTGTAGGAAGTTTGGGTAAATGCTAATTTCCTCTCATTTCTATAGTGGATCACACAAAAATAAACAGGTAAATGCTATATACTGTTGCAAAAACCAAAACATAAATCTGGCAGTACACTGTTGCACCGCATATCTTTTGAACTACCATATGCAATTAGGTTAGATAAATTTCCACTTAATGTCATAGGATACTGGAAACAAATTCACTAAATTGAAGAACAACTATTAAAAAAGTAGTGAAAATTACTTTGTAAATACTCGGAATTTAGTAATTCAAATACAGTAAATACTAAAAGAAGGTACCAAGTCAGAACCAAGTAAGTAAAAATCACATTAAATTCACTATACTGTAGTTCCAAGAATATTTTGTAGGTATTTGTAGAATTCATCATTATAGGAAATAGTTATCCATTAAATAATGGAGGGAACATTCTGGTTCAGTTGTTTTCTAAAACATGAGATATCTATTATAAAATATAGTATCTCGTGTTTTACAAAACTTTTAATGCACTGGATAATTTTAAAATTCTAGAAACATCGTAGAGCCAAATATTTCTCTATGCATGACATGCTTGGTATATAACCCCCAATAAAGTTTTTAATTCTCAGTATTGTATTAAGAAATGGTGGTACATATCTGACTTCTGGAAGTTTGAAGTAACTTTCTGTAGCAGGATCCTGAACCCAAGTTAATAGCATGAGGGGGCAAAACTACATAAACATTCAAAAGTTCGTATCTATCCTTCATTCGGCATATTGGAACAAAAATTTGTATTCAGTAACTTGTTTATATGCAGTGATTTGATCTTTGGGCATACACATTTGTCAAACATAATTATGGAATAACAAATCTGAGACCCAAGTTAGGTTTTTGCATCGATAACAAGTCACACTCCATATGAGAAAATATAGCACAGCATATATAAAAAGGTCAAAGGTAAGTATTAAATATAAGTACACTATTACTCATGTAGTAGAGTTCCTTTTACCCCATCACATATAAACTTTCCTAAAACATTTTAAATGTAATGCTCCAAACTTTTACATCTAGATTTAGTTAACTTGTAGCATCAAATTAGGAAGCAAAACATTTTGCACAATTTATATTAAACCATGTAATGCATGTACAATTTTATTATATATCCTGCATTCAAAGTCAAATACAGTACAGCAGTTCAACATATACCAAATGCTTATCAAATTTGTGAGAAATATAACTTCATTAGGGCAGAAAATGGGCAATTGTCCCCCCCCCCCCCCCCCCAAAAAAAAAAAAAAAAAAAGTTGCATCTTAAGTGCCTGTAAAGGATTTCAAACATTCTCCTTATTTATGTAAAAAATGGTTTCATGGGTGATGAAATACATGTACAGGGTAGTCTGTTTTATCTAAAACTTGAAAACTCAAAATATAATTTACTATTACTGTATATTACAAATGTAATAAATCTTACAAAATCCATCAATTAGGGAAATTATATATATATAAATAATATACTGTATATCGTGACACAAAGGCTGCATGAACCCTTGAACCATTAATCGCCAAGAACGCTCTTGACCCAACCAGGATTCGAATCCCAGCTGCCCGTGATCACCCCCTCCCCTAGCATACAGTGTACTATAACCACTACACACTCAATGGTGTAATGATTATAGTTCTCTGTACACCAGGGAAGTGATCCTGGGCAGCAGGGATTCGAATCCTGGCCAGGTCAAGAGAGTTCTTGGCGATATGTATATATGGTAAACATCTTCAATAATTACAAATCCTTTTAATCAACTGAATCTTATTGACAGTTTCTTTACTAACAGCTTCTGAGTTTGACAGCACATATTTACAAACATATTTTGATGCAGTGTATGAGCTTATTTGCATTGGTTTTGTATGCTTTTCAGCTTAAGATTGTATTTATCTTTCAATACTTTGTTTATATAATTTGGGCAAAGCAAAAATTGTCACGGTTTACAAAACAGTTGTATCGTGTCTATTAAATAAAAGAATTTAGAGTAGTCTTAATTTTTGAATGTCCAAAGAACATTTATTCTCTACCTGTTATTTAAATATAAATTATGAAGATTAGTTAATCGTGTAAAGATAGTACATGATGGTAATATGAAACAATTCCTTTCACTGGAAAAGACAAAATCTATAGTGCAGTATTGTAATACAGCATTATGTAGTGGATGATTTGTGTGTTCCTCAGTGAGTTAGGTAAAGCACCGTTGGGTTTGGCCAGCAATGGATGAACCAGTGTATACACAGCCTCATCTTTAGTACACCAGAATACCATGTTTAACCACTGCACTGCGCAAAGCGCCTTTAGGCGCTCTGAGATTTGTGCTTTTTGTTTTTTAATTAGGCTATATTTTAATATTTTTAAATGTTTTCATTACTCTTTGTGTTTTGAAATGGAAATAGTTGACTTTGGAAACATTTTGACATTAACTTTACCAAAACAATTATAAAAATAACAAAAATATATCCTTGAAAATTGCACCAAGACATTTTTGCCGAAAATGGGTGAGCAGTGCAGGGGTTAATGTCAGTATTTTGCCATTGCCAAGTTCACTTTGTCCATAAACACTTGTAGGTGTTGGTCCAATTTTATACCAGAACAAGGATACACACACATTAATATGATTGTGATTATTTAGGAATAGCAAATTAACACGTAATTTGGCTCGCATAAACTGGATAATTCGTAGTCTAATTGCTTATATAATACTACCGTACAGTGGAATGATATCACTGGCTTTCTGGATGCAAATGCATTTCAAGTTTGGTACATCTTTATTTGTAAGGATGATGACGCTGATGCAACTTTGCGCATTCGAGAAACATTAAAGTTGCACAATGGCTCTTTATTACTTTGCATGGAAGCACAAATTTGGAAGTAGTAAAAAAACTTTCTTTCGTGATGCTTTTTCTGATGTTATCCATACTGTCACATATATCCTGAAACTCTAAAGAGAGTTTCACACTCTTATACTAGCAAAATATATTGCTTGTATAATTTTATATTTATATTTGCACACTTCTGCATATATTACACGTATAAAGTCCATAGGATGCTCAATGTTTTAAGTAAAGCAGAAGCTCGGGAATAATGGCCAATGACATAACAGTATTAGTATTACTTTTTGCAGTGATTACTAATATCATTACTAGTAATTATGTATTAGAACATACCCATGTTTTATACACTATTATACAGACAAAGTTAGTGACAACGTACAAGAAGATGGTTACATTAAATAGCTAAATCCCCCAGTAGAAATATTACTGTACATAAAAACATAACAAAACTAACACTAAACCATATATTTGTATATTTCAATACTGTAGTATGAAAATGTTCCTCTACAATTTAGGTTTGACTTCCTACTGCTGTTCAAGTTTTAACTCCATGTAAATTCTCGCTCTGGAAATGTTTTACTTAAAAGATATTTATTCAGAATTGATCAATTTATTAGACTTTCTGTAAGTACAGTAATTATAAATAAAAGTGCTAAGCCAAGATAGCTATACATCACTGTTTTAGAATTTCTGTAATATAATGCTCTAGTTAACACTCTACAGTAATACTAACCATCTTTCCTAATAATTTTTGCCAATTATGTTGTAACTTGTTTTGATACTTTAATAGAAGTATCAAATTCTAAACCAAAATAAACTATAAACCCCCACAAACTAACTAGCAACAACTCGATACTGTCTGAATCATTATCAGTTTCAACTTGATAATGACAGAAGACAGACCAAAGCATTAACACTTCAATTCAATGGTTTAGTGTATATTTGTCCCAGCCAGGTTACTGTGACTTATGCTCCCATGCTCAGCATGCTGAGGGCCTCGCAAGTAACAAACCTGCACGATAACCAGTAAGAATATTTAACCACTTGTGGAATAAATCTTTGATTTCTTTATCCTGAAAATACTGCAAATTTGTCTTCTGTCAATTACTGTCAACAGTAATTTTAAGTACAACCGAAGTAATGCAGTATACACAAACTCGCTCAGTACTTCTCGGTCTCGATTAGTTTGTCTAACAATACTCAAATGAAGAATCGAACAATCATCAATGAAAATCTCAACAGTGTGAAAATAGAAGTGTTTTAAAGAAGAAAGCAAGTGATGCCATTCCAGTTACAGCATTAAGAAAAGAAATTTACAAAAATAATTACCCTAAATGTAAATGCTGGTTTTTCATATCGCTGCATCAAAATTATTTCTGCTGACAAAGTCTCTTCAATTATGCTAGCAGTCAGTATTAATCAGACAGACTGTACAAAATTTTAAAATATACAAAAGGATAAAGCTATGCCAAGATTTGCTCTTTCTCAAATAGAAGTTCTGTGCTTTCAAACTAATGATATTTATCACTGATCTCGACTTAAAATGAGAATTGGCCTTAGTGAAAACAGTCCTAGGCATTGCACGGAACCCTTTACCATTATAATTATAATTTTTTTGTTTTTAATTATTTCAAGGTTGACTTGCAGTTTTACTGTTGCTGCTGCTGCTGCTGTTCTCCCCGTGGTTGTTCACCCCAAGGAAAACCACCAGGTCGCTCTTCCGGTTGAAGATTGTAGTTTGGGCCCTCGTAATTGGGCTCACATAACTGCACACTGGAATTTATGAATGCTATTAAAATGTTAGTTTAGGGATGTTCACGACAGTGCACACAGCCTTGCTTTCTTTCAACCTTGTGATAAAAAGAGGAGGAAGCTGGGCTGGGTACTCACCTTTTTACTGTTTCAGTAAAAAGCCAAATGCTTCTGCACCCCATGAGAGACAGAGAAATGGTGAAAATGATGATTGCAGGTATACAGTACAGTAGAACCTCGAGTGACGATTGCCTCAAATGGCGAACATTTTGGGTAACGATCGCCCAGATCGCCGACAATTCGGCTCGTATAGCGACTGCTTGTTTGAACGACGACAAGACCACATGGTGGGGTCGCGCTGCTTCTCGCACATTCTCGGACCCCTCCGACGATGCAAATTGTTGTTTTTGTTTAAAGATGCTAATGATGCTGGGATATAAAGGGGCAACTGCTGAGATGTTGCAAAGCAATGACTTTTTTGTAGCAGAAAGAAATGAATTTTTTTCAAATACAACAAATGTCAAAAAGGTTCATTTGGTGTTCGGCAGGTAGGCTGCTCCATGTTTCTTAAATAAAAAAAAAAAAAAAAAAAAAAAAAGTTGAAACAATTTGAAAAACAAATGCCATAAAGAGGATCTATACAAAGAAGCTTTTATGTCTATACACACTGTATAGGTTGTAAGACCATTATTTGAGTATGCAGCACTAGCATGGATCTCTCACCAGAATTGACAGGGCTAAGCCATGAGGACAGATTGAGGGAACTCGCCCACACAACCTTAGAAGAGAGAAGAAACATGGGGAATATGGTCACTACGTACAAGATCCTGAGGGGAACACAAAGTGGGCAAAGGATGCCTATTTAAATTAAAAGGAGGTAGAACAAGGGGATATCTGTGGAAGCTGAACATGCAACCGACTCGAAGAAATACAAGGAAATTATTATTCCCTGTAAGAGTGGTCAGCAAGTGGAATGCATTGAAAGACGAGGGTGTTGAAGCCAATTCAATTCACAACTTTAAGAAAAATTAATATGAAAATGTTAATGTTGACAGGTAATTAGTGCACCAGGTATAAACGACTAGGAAGCAGGGCATGAAGAGCTAGATCTCACTTCATCTTAGTCAGTGATAGATAAGTATTGATAGGTAAGAAGTACTGTCTGGTACAGGTCTAACATGAACGAACTTGTCTCTCAAGTTTTAATTTAAATCATCAGAGAAGAGCTTGAAACCGTTGCTCCTTGTTTGTGTTACAGCCGACCTTTTGAAGAAGTTGCCTTGATCAACATCCTCTAAATTGTTCAGTATTATAAGTTTTGATGAGAACTGCCCTGTGATGTCTGGTTTGCAGTGTCAGCCCTGTGGCCCTCAAACGTTCCTGGTATGAGGGTCGATTTAGTTCTGGAAGGATTTTTGTTGCCCAGTGTTGAACTTTTTCCAAAGCAGCTATGTCTTTCTGAAGATGAGGTCTCCATACTTGGATAAAATAATCCAAGTTGGGGCACACCAGAGATTTATACAGTTGAATAACTACCTTCTTTTCCTTAAAGTTAAAGGTTCACTTCATTATTCCTAGGATTTGGTTAGCTTTTTAACTGCACCTCCCACTTGTGCAACTTTCAGTGAATGATGGATTCTGACTCCAACGTTCTTTTCCTCATCATTCTGCTGCAAGGTAATGTTGCTAATTTGGTAGTTGTGACATGGATTCATATGCCCCACATGCAAGGTCTTGCATATTTCAATATTAAAAAGCATTGGCCAGTCTTCTGACTATTTGTGGAGTTCATGTAGATCAATGTCAATGATCTACATGAATGCTCTTACAGATTCTTAATTTGCTCTTGTGTGAAATAAGTCTTGATGAAATCAGCCCTGTCATATCTGGTTACATGGAAGGCCAGATTTAAGAGGCTATAATGTAATGCAAAAATGTAATGAATAGTATGAGTTCATGACGGCTGTAAATGTTGTGTAAATATTTGACCATGAAGCATTTGTGCAAAGGGAAACTACATATTGTAAAAATATACTGGGGAAAAAAAGCAACTTACAGGAAACGTGGAGTCTTCAAAAGCCTGATGCCTCCAGATCGTGCTGGGAAAACATCTTCGAGAAAGTAGTAGATGTGACCAACTGCAATTCCCACCAAGTCAACCAGGATCGAGTTTCCCAGGAGAACACTAAAGCCTAATAACACCCAGGGCAAGTAAGGAGCCTGAAAAAAGTAAACAAAATACATAAGAATACTGTTACTTAAATATGAACCTAGATCTGTGTCAATCACATGTGGGCAATCAAGAAAGGAATCCCTGAACTTTGTACTCCTTGTGTAAATTGTAAATTAGCGTATATTCAGAACATGACAACGTGTAGCAGAACTAGAGGGGAGGGGGGGGTACTGGCAATACTTGGGTGTTGGATGCTACATTTTCACTACATATTATCTTCATCACTATAACTACCTTCACTACACACCATCTTTCCCACTGTAACCATCTTCATTTCAAACAACCTTCAACACTGTCACCATCTAAACTACACATGACCACATCCCTCATTGTAATCATCTTCACTATATACTGTCTTCGTCACCCTAACCATTTTCACTATCCTGAAACCATTAGGTATCCCATCTACAACCATCATCATTACCATCTTCCTTCTCTTTCACTACATTCCCTATCCTTCACCACCTTCCCTACACTTCACCACCTTTCCTTACCATTTACCACCTTCCTTTTTGTTCATCAACTTCCCTACCCTTCGCCTCCACCTCTACTTTTCATTTTCTCCTCTTCCTGTAATCTCAGTGTGGATAAAGTCTTTTATTTTGCATGGTTGGAAATTAGTATACTTTGGCATTTCACACAAGGGAGGTGGGGGGGGGGTTATGGGGCTCGACCCCGACCCACCCATAATCATCCCCAGACAAAGACCAGTCACCCTGCAAAATTTGATGACACTAGTCCTATGCATTTGGCCTCCAACTTGGACTGAAAGATATTCTTTTATAGACACAGAAGATGGCTATGGAATTTGAATGAATAATACAGTAACTATCTGTGGATATTATTGTAAATTTTCTCAGTCCAATAATAAAAATAAATACTGTATTAACCAAATAAAAAATATTAAGAGTTAAATCCAAAATGTGCATATAATTACTGTACCTGGAAGTTGAGAATGCCAAAGAAATTCATGCGAACAAAGGGATTCCGCCGTGCCCACACATACACTAGCATTATGGTGAAGGCCTGACCCAGGAACAGGAGGGAGCAGAACATGGCACAAATCAGCATACATGCTCCACCAAATATCTGAGAAAACATACAAATACTAATGTTAATTAATACAGTATAATACATTATTAACTGAAAAATAAATTCCCAAATTGCCAAAGACACCAGCATCAAGTACATCCACTCAAATAATATGCAAATAAATACCAGTATGAACTATTTAGAATATGCTAAAAAAGAAAACATATTGGATAAATTTTAAGTGTGATGAAATGCCATTTTCTGGGCAGTACATCGGTTGTTCAGTTAGTTTCTGTAATTGGCATGAATAGAACACTGAATATGCTAGGCTTCCAGTAACAATCTCAGCACACCAAAATGAGCACCTTTTCAACTGTCTTGTTTACTCCAAATGGTGGGATACTTGTGTGAATCAGAGGTCAACTTACTGCTAAAATGAACTGATCCCTTCTACCCTCCTATGTCTGTTGGCTTTCTAGTTTCCCTCTGAACTTTTTAGTTTCAACCTGCCAGTGGTTTGTCTTTGCTCCATTACTCTGTGTTTTTGGCTGCTTGCTGTTGTATGATTTCAGAGCTTTTTCTGATGGGTCTACTTTGGTCTTGATGCTTGTTTCTACCTGCCAGGGGTGTTCCTCAACCTTGCTACACTTGAGTTAGCAAGCTTGGAACATTTACTCTGTCTTATCCGTATTGGTGACATAGCTATTGGAGCGGACGAGGGGTGCTAGCTCAGGAAAAGTAAATATTCAATGTGATTAGAAAATCTGGTTTGAATGTACAGTACTGTATATTGAAACATTTTAACATTTTAAGAGATAAACATATATTATATCAAGCTGGCTACTAAATACATAAAGACTATAGGTCAAATTTTACATACCAAATACATTTATGGTATACATAAAGCAAGCAGGTGGATAGTGCCACACAAAAAAAGGATGCTATAAAAATTTGTTATTTCACTTTAATTACATGAACACTCCCAGAATGATCTTACCATCATCAAGACAAAATCAGCTGTACGTCCACGAAAGGAGCCTTCTTCTAGCATGCGGCAGTAACGGTAAGTGAATATCATATTGAATAAGAAGTTAAAGCCTATAGTCCCAAAGAAGAGGAATGTTGTCAACAGTCTCCACAGCTAAAATGATAAGTGTGTGTTATAAAATAATTATATTTTTCTAATTACAGTATAACAATATTGCCATAATATATCACATTATGAATTATGAGATTAACTGATAGACATTTTTTAATTACAATACTGTAGTAATATAAATTAATGTTGCGATGATATATATGACAATGTGAACCAAACCATCTGCCTGAATCTGCTGTTTGGAAACTAATGATTATCTGCTACTTTAATTCCACTTACCTGATAATGTCTGAAAATGAGGATAGGGTTGAAGTACAGCTGAAATGGTGACACAATATCCAGTTGCTGTGAAAACCAACAAAATGTACAATAGAAAAACAACATTTTGATTTTGTAAATTATTCTAATATAATTTATAATACAAAATACAATATAGCCAATATTATATAGCTGACAATTAAATTCTAAGACAGCAAACATGTGCAAATAAATGCTTGTGACTAAATTCAAAGTACAGTATGGCTTGTAAAGATGTCTGTAGCATGATATTCCAAGAAATAATAAACCTTGCGATAATATTCCAATGAACAACAACCTGTGGTTATCATTAGCATGAACTAAAGTTTGCGATTATAGCAGTGTATAGATAATGTACAGTGATTATAAAGGCAGCACTACTGTTGGAAAAAATAGAACCATAGAAGTCATTGAAAGCACAGTTTAAGTACAAAACACTTGTACTAAGTACACTTGTCTAAAAAATGATGACAGGTATATATGAATAATAGATTAATAACTTTGATATTTAAAAATAAGCATGTTAACTCACCACAAGTATGGTGGTGATAACACAAGCAGTTGTATAAGCACGTGTCACTGGAGGCATCTGCAGGTATTCTTGTCGGAATGTCAAGTGAGCCATTTTGATTATTTTACTTCAACAAATTCTGGAAAAACATTATATATATACAGTAAAATTTAATCAAAGTAGTTCTCTTCAAAATGAATACAAATTTAACGAACAATATGAAAAGACTCAAGAGGAATAATTCTGTGTAATCTATACAGTATTGAGCTTTATATTTATATTTTTTTTAATTTAGATTTTTCCTTTATACTGTGGAAAATACAACCTTTGACTAATATTTTTTGTATTATTAATTCCTACGTCATAAGTGTAAACCAAATCCAACTTACTCTGCACATTATAAGTATCCAAAATATAAAGTACGCATTCCAGATTCTCTTTCTAAATATTGTTCAAAATAAGATTTAAATTATAGATCAAAATCTCTTTTCTGAGTAAACCACTAGCTTCGTTCCTAACCAATGTCCTACTCTCCCCTGTACAGCAAACGACAATCAGACAGGCCAACACTCTGTCAATTATTTCAAGCATCCACTCTTAGTTACACTAGAGCAAGGGTTAGGTTAGACCTGAAAATCTGTATGTTAACTGTCTGCTGTATGAAGTGATCCGTGTCCAACAGATGGGGACAAAAATAATTTACCATTGCTGGATTGCTACATTGCATTTTTTAGTGAATGTGGCTATACAGTATATCAGAATGGATGGTGACCTATTTTATAAAATATAATTAGACCATAATTACCCCCTTATGCCTACCTAACCTAAAAATTCAGAGTGCATTATATACAAACATTGCAGCTATTGAAGTTAATTATAAAATACAATCTGCTGGGGACAAGGTTGATGTATTTATTGAATAGGTCTAAAATTGCAAGTTAAACATTATTTTTACCCTTTTGGATGTATAATACATCACTTTCAGCACCGACAGCTGCATTCACTATAGAGGATTTCCATAGCTGTCAGGTGATATATTGGTCTTTACCACTTTGTACAAGGACCATTGCCCATTAGAAACAACATAAATTAAAACTGTCATGCTTTTATCACACCAAATCTGCTAAGAGAGCTAATTACCTTCTATAATACAGTACAGTACTCTTAATAACGTCAATGATGCAAGGTGTCAGATTTGAAGACACCTTCACATATCGCTGCCTCCCTCGCTGTACAATATTGTTGACGTTGGGGTGAAGCCTTTTTTTGTCACGTGTAGCGTGGGACAGGCTGGGACGGGTGTGAGTGCCTGAGTGGGACAGACTGGGACGGGAGTGCCTGCCTGGGACACAGTGTGACAGAACCCACCCTGCAGACGTGTGTTTACATCACTGGCAGCTGCCAGGCGAGTCATCTTTCTAATTCCACTTTCAACATTACTATAGAATAGGATCTATGAGTGTTTATAAAAACTTTTTTTTTTATAATGTTATGACATGTTTTAACATATAATGGGAATGTCAAGAACTGAGAAGATAAGAAGTAATAAATGTTGCGTGAAATAGAGAAGGTGTAAGGTGTGTTTACTACTGAGGGAGGCGAGGGTGGCGGGGGGACCGAGCCAGCACACTTCTGCAGGAGGTGACCGCCGTGTGACCTGCCTGTGTCATGAAGAGCAGGTAGTGGCAATGGTGTTAATGGTTACCTAATAACACTCCTGGATCAACCTCATAGCTGAGCACACTTCTGGCTCCTGCCTCGCCTGCCGGTCACCGGAGCCGAGTTGCGATGTTTACCTGTTGGGTTACATAACTTTTTATTTTTTGTTCAATTACGTAATTATGTAACTGTAATGTGTGGCACACATAACACCTAAAGGTACAAGTCACAAAGACGGTGCTAAATAGTCTTCCCATCACAGTGCCTTCTTTGGGTAATTTACTTTGTACATATTTTCTTCTGGAAGTTGAACGATTAACTTAAAATTTTATTTTACACTTTTAGTGAGCCTGAAGTGTTTCGTTAAGAAACAATTTAGTTTCTTTAGGGATAGAATGAAAGTAAATTCCAGTGGACAGAGACAGCAGTATATACTGGTATTCCATGCAGGTATGAAGAGATGTGTGGTGGTTACTTTGTTGAAGGGATTTGGTAATCTTGCCCTGCATTCCCATTGATCAGTTTAGGCAATAGATGTGGTTTAAACTAATAGTTTTGTCATGGTCTTGTAGATTGTAGGGCTTAAATAAGCTTAAGATGGCTGTTGATAATTGAATGAGAGTATTTGATGCTGTCTGATCTGTTGTTACTTTTTTTTTTTTTTTTTTTGAGATATATACAAGAGTTGTTACATTCTTGTACAGCCACTAGCATGCGTAGCGTTTCGGGCAGGTCCCTGGAATACGATCCCCGCCGCGAAGAATCGTTTTTTCATCCAAGTACACATTTTACTGTTGCGTTAAACAGAGATTACAGTTAAGGATTTGCGCCCAGTAAATCCTTCCCGGTCAGGATACGAACCCATGACATAGCGCTCGCAGAACGCCAGGCTACTATACAGTACCGTATTTATTTTTATTTCCTGGTCAGAATATCTTGTATAGTTTGGTTTTATACACAAAGCACTTTCATCCATTTAACAACTAAATTACACTTACTTAAATCCTACAATCTACAAGACAAAAACTAAACTATAATACAGTTTACTCCATAATTGCAGTCCCAGCCAATCAATTAGAATGAAGGGCAAGATTATCCCAGTTTCCTTGACAGGATAACCACCTCGCCTACCTTTATACTTAAAAGTAGTATATACTGCTCTGTCTGCTCATTTATGTTTACTTTTATTCTACTTCTGAAGATGCTAAGGTGTGCTTTAGTGAAAATGATTATAAGAGCTATTGAGATTCTTGGTTCTTGCAGTGGAATCTCGATTCGACGAACGTCGATTTTGCCAATCTCTGGTTGGAACACACTTTTCATGTTCGATTTACTTGCCCAATTCGACGAACAAGAATTCGCAGAAGCAGGGGATGTGTGGATTTGCTCAGGACGTTGGAACAGAGTTCATAGATGGAGGCAACATTACAGAAAATAGTAGGGCAGTGGGAAAGCCACTGAGCATGTTTAAATACCAAATTCTATGGTTCTTTTTTTTCCAGTTGCCGAGGTATTTGTTCAGTAAAATACGGACCCTCTTTCCTCTGAAAATGAGATTTCGAGGCTTGGGCACAAGAAATATGCTAGATCTGGTTAAATATTTTAAAGACAGTTTCTCTCCTGGTTGTTGTCTTTCATATGACAGGTTGAAGTTATAATTTTGTTCAATGAAATCAGCCCATAGAACCCAGGAAATATTAGGTGTGAATGGTAACTACTGTATTAATATAGCTCTAATAACAGTTTTGATGATTTTTGTAGATGGACTCGGCATTATTTGAAATAGTTAAGAGCCTTGGGAAAGCTATTGAGGATATTTAAAACCAAATTCTATTACAGTACTTGATTTTTATTCTGAGTTGACAAGGTTTTTAGTTCACACAGATATAGCCCTGCTACATTTTGAAAATGAGTTTTGAGGCTGGTAATGGGAAAAATAAGCTAGATGTTGTTACGTGTTTTGGCAGACATGATCATTCGGTAGTTGTCTATTATATTATAGATTGAAATCAGCCCATAATGCATTGGAAATGCATCTTGGAGGCATCTCTGGTTGCAACGAATTCCTTACTGCAATGAATTAGCGTTGGTTCTGTATAGTTTGTTAAATCGAGGTTGTGCTGTAATCCTTTTGGTCATAGTCAATAACAGGCTATTGACCATGATCAAAAGAGTTAGATCAATGATTCAGTTAATAAATGTATGATGCCACATTTAAGTTGGCCTCTTGGGATCTGCTGCAATATTTAACTGTCAAAGATAAGTTTCTGTGCTTTTGATGTGTCCAGTGTCACTCAATAATCATTAATATATTTGACCTCTTAATTCAAAACCTTTGAGCCTACACAAAATGTACCACCCACATATCTTACAGAATTCTGCTAGAATTTGATATAAATTGCATATAATGCTTCGGGGTCGTCCATGGATTTTGGATGGTGGTCTGGCCTCAACCTTGCAAGAGGATGGGTTTTCTGTGGATGGAGACCCTTTGTGGAGTGCCCGCATCCTTGCCACCAATCCTGATGCAATAAAAAAAGTAAGTTTGTTTGGTTACTTTGTACTTGCCTAATTTTACTGGATAAATTCTCAGGATAAATTTACTTGGCTAAATATTGAGGCCTTGCAAAACGATGTACATAAACTTCGCAGATGGCCAAAGGTTGGCAAATGCTTTTAAAAATAAAGATGGCAAGACCTTACATGTAGGGTATAATGATACACATAACTACCCTATTAACAACAGCAGCAGACTGGGTGGGGTGTGCGCATGTGTGCCTCAATCAACTGGTGTATAGATTCCTGATCCTATTAAGGCTCTATCATATCTACATTTAAAAGTGTGTGTGTGTGTGTGTGTGTGTGTGTGTGTGTAAAATTCACCTGGAAACCCCCTCAAATAATGAGAGGATCTTTGACAAGCTGCTGACTTCATCTTTGTTGAAGCCACTAGAAGATTGTGGCCTTCAGGTAAATTAAAATACAGGCTGTAAATAATACGAAACGGTATTTACGTAACTGAACTGGTATACATATTCAGAAAGGCATTGCATTATACTGAAATGTTTTTCAATTGCAGGTTCATGCTTCATTCTTGGAAGCAGGTGCAGATATTATTACTACAGCCAGCTATCAGGCAAGCATTGTAGGGTTCAAAGATCATCTTGGTACCACAGAAGATGAAGCCAGAAGGCTTATGGATCTCTCTGTTGAACTTGCCCAGGAAGCCATTCATGAATATTCTTCCACCCTACATAATGAAGGTTCAGTTTGGTTAAATGACATATTCCCTGATTCTCTACTGTGAGAGTGTATTCAGATAGAGTATTAGGTATGGCTTTCGGAATTCACTCAAAACATTCTAAAATATAAAAAAGGATAATAAAACATATGAAAACCAAAACATTTAAATATTTTTTGGTAAATATTATTTTACTGTCATTTGTTTGGGGACAATTTGATACCCAAGATTTTGCAATAAACACATTTTAATTTAAAAAAACTTATTCTAAATGTTTATAAATATAAACAAAATTTAAATTATAAGAACAGCTGGCAACTGTACTGTATTGAAAATTGTGTGTGAAGTAAATATTAAAATGTAAAATTTTCAGATTTAAAAAAAAAAAAATGCACAAAACATTGCTAATACATAAGCTTTCCTATGACAACAAAAAGTAAGAGTAAAACTTCAATTTCATAGCATGATGCTCTTAATTACAATTACCCATGTTAATAGTGGCTGTGGTTGAATGTTTCGTTTGTGCTAGTTGTCAGGATGGGTTATCTTGAGATGATTTCGGGGCTTTTTAGCGTCCCCGCAGCCCGGTCCTCGACCAGGCCTCCACCCCCAGGAAGCAGTCCATGGCAGCTGACTAACACCCAGGTACCTATTTCACTGCTAGGTAACAGGGGCATAGGGTGAAAGAAACTCTGCCCATTGTTTCTCGCCGGTGCCTGGGATCGAACCCAGGACCACAGGATCACAAATCCAGCGTGTTGTCTGCTCGGCCGACTGGCTTGCCCAGCTCTAGGTAAAGATAAAGTGGAAATTAAAATTATACATATTTAACAATATTGTGGGGGGCCTCACTTCTCTCTCCATTTCTGCCTTCTATTGAAAGGATTGCTTGAAGTGTATGCCAGTTATTTATTCTTATTTAGCTTTGGCACAATATAAAATAATGATAATTTACACTGAAGAACGAAAATGTGTAGACAGGCTGAGGATTCTCTTCAAGCCCAAATAAAGTTTGAAAATAGCAGGAAATTGAAACAACACTGGTGTAAGTAAAAAGAAAAGGCAGCAATTGTTCATTTAGTAACTACAGTACTTTTGTTCCAGTCTACAGCCACACCACATGATACAGTCATTCCTACAGATAATTCTGGAGCCAAACTAGATGATGCTGCAGTCATACCAGATAATAGTAAAACACCAGATTGTGCTAATCAGATGATACAGCTACACCAGATGAGGCTAAGCAGATGATACAGCCACACCAGATGAGGCTAAGTAGATGATACAGCCACACCAGATGAGGCTAAGCAGATGATACAGCCACACCAGATGAGGCTAAGCAGATGATACAGCTACACCAGATGAGGCTAAGTAGATGATACAGCCACACCAGATGAGGCTAAGCAGATGATACAGCCACACCAGATGAGGCTAAGCAGATGATACAGCCACACCAGATGAGGCTAAGTAGATGATACAGCCACACCAGATGAGGCTAAGCAGATGATACAGCCACACCAGATGAGGCTAAGCAGATGATACAGCCACACCAGATGAGGCTAAGCAGATGATACAGCCACACCAGATGAGGCTAAGCAGATGATACAGCCACACCAGATGAGGCTAAGTAGATGATACAGCCACACCAGATGAGGCTAAGCAGATGATACAGCCACACCAGATGAGGCTAAGCAGATGATACAGCCACACCAGATGAGGCTAAGCAGATGATACAGCCACACCAGATGAGGCTAAGCAGATGATACAGCCACACCAGATGAGGCTAAGCAGATGATACAGCCACACCAGATGAGGCTAAGCAGATGATACAGCCACACCAGATGAGGCTAAGCAGATGATACAGCCACACCAGATGAGGCTAAGCAGATGATACAGCCACACCAGATGAGGCTAAGCAGATGATACAGCCACACCAGATGAGGCTAAGTAGATGATACAGCCACACCAGATGAGGCTAAGCAGATGATACAGCCACACCAGATGAGGCTAAGCAGATGATACAGCCACACCAGATGAGGCTAAGCAGATGATACAGCCACACCAGATGAGGCTAAGCAGATGATACAGCCACACCAGATGAGGCTAAGCAGATGATACAGCCACACCAGATGAGGCTAAGCAGATGATACAGCCACACCAGATGAGGCTAAGCAGATGATACAGCCACACCAGATGAGGCTAAGCAGATGATACAGCCACACCAGATGAGGCTAAGCAGATGATACAGCCACACCAGATGAGGCTAAGCAGATGATACAGCCACACCAGATGAGGCTAAGCAGATGATACAGCCACACCAGATGAGGCTAAGCAGATGATACAGCCACACCAGATGAGGCTAAGCAGATGATACAGCCACACCAGACGAGGCTAAGCAGATGATACAGCCACACCAGACGAGGCTAAGCAGATGATACAGCCACACCAGACGAGGCTAAGCAGATGATACAGCCACACCAGACGAGGCTAAGCAGATGATACAGACACACCAGATGAGGCTAAGCAGATGATACAGACACACCAGACGAGGCTAAGCAGATGATACAGACACACCAGACGAGGCTAAGCAGATGATACAGCCACACCAGACGAGGCTAAGCAGATGATACAGACACACCAGATGAGGCTAAGCAGATGATACAGACACACCAGATGAGGCTAAGCAGATGATACAGACACACCAGATGAGGCTAAGCAGATGATACAGACACACCAGATGAGGCTAAGCAGATACTGCAGTTACACCAGCTGATGCTAAGCAGATACTGCAGTTACACCAGCTGATGCTGTAGCAGGCACATCAGATAATACATTGTGTGGGGGGGACCAACCAATCTTGCATTAATAAAACTGTAATTCCTAATCTACTGTACTACTATTAATTGTACTTGAATTATGTTAACTTTACAGTTATAGTAATTGAGACATTTATTTTTTTTTTTTTTGGATGAGCCTTTATCGAATGGGAGAGAATGACTCCAGAAATAACAAGTTGAAAACTATCAAATAGAATAGGAATGCATAATAGGAGAAAAAGGTAGGGAGAGAAATATAAAGCAAAGGTTAAATGCAGAAGGCAGGAGCTGACCAACTAACAATTGATAGAATATATTGTACTGAATTACTGATCTAGGTAAGATTTCAAGACAAATATACTGTAAATCAAATGTGTTCAACATTTTAGGAAACCTTGCACATACTGTACAAGAGCATTATATCCATCAAGATTGGTTTACCAATTCATTAGCTAGCTAGAAACTACTGATAATTACCCATTTTCTCAATTTTTTATGTTCTTAAGATGAAACATGTATGCATGATTGGTCTTTACATTTTCTAATTTCAGGTAAAAAGGTGTTAGTTGCAGGTTCCATTGGTCCATATGGAGCATGCCAGGCAGATGGTTCCGAATACACTGGTGCATACGTGTCCAAAGTTACACCTGAAGATATGAAGGAATGGCACAGACCTCGTATGGCAGCTTTGATCAGTTCTGGAGTTGACCTCTTAGCCATTGAGACTATCCCTGCGCTGGAGGAAGCATTAACAATCCTAAATTTACTTCGAGAGTTCCCAGACATTAGAGCCTGGTTGAGCTTTTCATGCAAGGTTTGTAGTATCTGCAATGTTGGGAGGCTATTATCTATTACAGAACTCTTAACTAGGACAGTCATGTGGATCCCCTTCTGTAAGATGCAGAGGTTTGCACACAAACCTAGCTTGTTCCCAGGCTCAATTCCCATGCAGGATCAGATGTTTGGGGTGGGTTTCCTTGCACTTCATGCCTCTGTTTGCCTAATAGTAAACAGGTGTGTTGCATCATGGGGAAGATCGTATTTTGTCTGGGGGGGGGGGGATATCTCAGTATGCCTAGAGTGACTTCCTGTCCCCATAAATGGGAAAAACATTGGTACCTCACAGCAGTTTTCATCAATTAATGCCCAACCTCTATGTTAGTCTTTTGTGACATTTTAGATAGGAACAATGAATTCTTATGAACAACCTTATTCTTTTTATGATTTAAACAGACATTTATTTGCTGAAATACATAATAACCAGCTTCACTTGCACCTTTCTTGAAAATTTGCTGTTTAAGAATGGCATTTTAATATTTTGCTCTTAAGTGGTAGTGTATTGACAAAATATTGATATTCCAATATGGAATAAACTGCAAGCATTCACTTGTGCTTACATCTGAACTATTAGGCTCTGCATAACATAACCTGGCACTGTACTCGGTCAGTCCCTACATGAGAGTTTGGGTCACTTACAGCTGGTGCCCCCCCACCTCATTATTAAACTATACAGTATTTCAGAAATGTTAATGAAAGGGACAATTACCAGGACTTGTATTCTTTGTTTTCAGTCCCACCTATTTCCAAGAAAAAATAAATGAACTACCCAGAGTTGCATGATCCTTGACTTCATGCAGGTCAGCGTTCAATCCCCGACTGTCCAAGTGGTTGGGCACCATTTCTTCCCCTCCGTCCCATCCCGAATCCTTATCCTGACCCCTTCCAAGTGCTATATGACGACGACAAGTCAAAATGACTTGGCGCATTCGCCTGATAGTTCCCTTCCCGTGTGATCTTACCAAGCACATGTACTCTAATTTTAAGGTTAGCTTAGTTAAATGAACAGAATTGAAGTCCTTCATCATTCAAGCAGATGTGAACTCCACCAAGGTAAGTTTAAATTTGTCATTGTCATTAAAATGCATTTATTAAATGAAGATTCTCTTTCAAACATGTAAATTTATGTTTATTGTATGTGGAAATGCAAATTATGTTGGTTGTGGTACAAAAAATACCGAATGTTAATTTTTTTACAATCCTCTAAAGAATTTCAGCTAATTTGTGTTTGGGTGATTCAGATTGGGGTTGGCCCCGATGATTTGGATTACTAGTGTAGACTATTTCAGAATGTAGTAAATTGGTATTTGGTAGTAGGTAAAATTGTAATAGCCTAAAGGGCAATGATAGTGAACCAAATATGGAAAAATGCACTTTAGTAGTACTTGTATGCATTTAAACACGAGGGGAGTAGTTAAGTAGGGCAAATTATTCACTGTATAAAATTTGCAAAACTATTTATAAAAACTGAGTGTATGTAATTGAAATGTTGTAGTGTTTAGTAAAGTTGCCTATATTTTTTGTTGTATTATAGGATGGGAAATACACCAATTATGGAGACAATTTTGGAGAAGCTGCCAAGAAGTGTTATGAAATGGCAGGAGATCAGCTGGTAGCAGTTGGCGTAAACTGTAGTCCACCCCAGTACATTACCTCGCTCTTGGAGAAGGCAAACCTGAGCCTTCCTCCGCCATCCATTCTTCCCAGAGTTGTGTACCCCAATTCTGGAGAAGAATGGATTGCTGGTAAAGGGTAAGGATGTGTGTGTGCTCTTATCTTATCATCCTAATAATGAATACTTTCTGAAAGATATTGTAATGAAAGGAAATAATGATACAATATATATAGGGGGAGGTAATTATGAATTTTAGGAGTTATAATGTTGTTTGCAATGAACTGCACATTCCAGTGCTGAGCTTCGAGCCTCAATCCCAGCATGGTATTATTTTTGGCAGTGAAATCATCAGAAACAACTTTATTTAAAATATACAAAAGAATCTTGGCTTACATGAATGATTTCATATGCATTGATAATTTAACTGGAGATTAATTAATATATCTAAGAGGCTATTCTTTGTGAGGAGCATGCAGATATGAATCAATAATAAGTTCTAGAACAAGTATAAATAAATTGCACAAACTGTTCAATTCCCCTAATCTATTCTGCATGTTGGGACTGCACTCATAATGTGACAAACCGTCAGTAGTTTCAAAGCATTATATGACAGTAAGTGCTGGGAAGACAGGACACAATGAGCGTAGCTCTCATCCTGTAACTTAGGTAATTACAGCTTCACATAAAGCAGATTACTTAACCTACTTCTGAGGAAATGGCCATCCCTATAAGCACTTTTATATATTTTGCCATTGTACTGAATTTTTTTTACCACAACAACTCATGTCTGCTGCATCCATAGATACACAAAAGCAGTCAATTGAACAGTTACCCTGTATATAAAATCTATAGGGCGTAGGAAAGTGCTTTTTATATATTATAAAATATCATATGTTTACAAATTTATTATAATGTGCAGTTTTGACAATTTTAATTTCAGATGGGCGAATGGCTCAAAATGGCCTTATGATAACGAGGTAAAAAAATGGTTCAGCTTGGGTGCATCTGTGATTGGTGGATGTTGCAGACTTGGACCTCGTGATATTAGAATAATTGCAAGTACTGTTGCTTCCATGTAATGTGTATAGTATATATTTTTATTGATGAAAGAATTGTTAAAAATTCAATTAATATTTTTATTTAAGGTTATAAATACATAGATTTGTTACACACAACCAATATCATAAAAAATTAAAGGTTCAGTACTGTAGCAGTTATATTAAGAGTAATATAATTGCTCCAAACTCTCATTAGTTTTAGTGCAGATAATTAGATGTGTATGTTAATTTCACATAACCTGTTCTTTAGAATTACACATGCCAAGAAGTTCTACACTAATCCTATATGTGTTAATAACACTTAATATCCCTTCCCAAGGGTACAGGATCATTCTGGCCAGCCGACAGGTAACCTGCAAAGATGTTGGTCGGTTGGGCAAAGTGAGGAAAAGCTTGTAATTTTAGGCCCAATGAAAGGGAAGGGTTGTCATTCAGTCTAGCTTGAATAGTGGTACAGTTACAGATACTCTAGATACACACCTCAGATCTATATCATCATTGATATTCACCAGCAACAGTGTAACACTTGTTATGTTTGCTCATACTTTCACAAGACTCTTCAGCTTTGTTACAGAGCAGACGGCCGGATTCTGGCGGTACTCGAACTTCCAGCTCTTTTCCCGCATTCGAGCTCTTTGATCCCGCCTGCATTCAAGCTCTTTGATCCCACCTGAATTCGAGCCCTTTGATTCCGCCCACGTTCGAGGTCCATGTTCTATGCTCTCTTCCCCTGACCTCACTCAAGCTCTCTGTTCCAGGCTTCATCTCAGCTGTCACAACATGCCATTACATTGCCAACAACCAACTACTGTAACCAAGACTATATTAAACAAACATCAAAAACCACTTCAACACTCTGTGTCTCATCACCCAAACACGTAAACGTAGACATAAGTTACATTGGTGCTGGTGAATGTCAATGTTGTCGAAGATCTGAGGTATATCTCTTGGTGTCTGTAACTGAACCACTACTCGAGTTTGACTTATGACGCTTCCGTTCTTGGAGCTTGTATTACCAACTTCTCCGCACTTTGCCAAACTGACCAATATCTTTGCAGGTTACCTGTCTGCTGGCCTGTTTGATCCTGTACCCTTAGGAAGAGAGATCAATTGTCATTAGTGCATATTAGTGTAGAACTTCTTGGAATGTGGAATTCTTAGGGTTAGATTATGTGAAATTAACAGGCACATCTAATTATTGTATGCACTGAAACCAATGAGAGTTTGGAGCAATTATATTACTCTCAATTACTTTGCTACAGTACAAAGTAATTTATAATCGGTATATGCAAGAATTTCAAGGACAAAGATGAATAAGAAATGACACTCTAGCAATTTGTAGCAAACCTGTACATTGAGTGGTTTTGTTCATCAGATCCAGTCTTGTGGTGCATCTCTTATTGTTTCAAGCAATGATCATATACAGTATGTATGTAGGTATACCATGCAAGAGCTTTCTTGCATGGTATTGTAGGCCTTATACAGTTCTCTTTATTCTTTATATGTTTGTAACATTAGGACACCAGAAACAGATTTACCGTAGAGATGTGAGAATGTAATGAAGTGTAAGAAGCCCAAAGTAGGGATATGAAAAAAACTAGATTGGGAATTACAGTATCATATATTTTTCAATTGCCATAAAAAGTGTTTAAGTGAATAGTAAGTTTTATTTGTATCTTTTTGGATAATTACCATATGATTCAATATAAGAGAAATGTAAAAAATACAAAGGAAAGATGCCAGAAATGATGAGTAAATGAGTAAAATATCAAACCTTAGAATCATTTACTTAACTACAGATGAAAAAGCAGACTTTTAATTTTAACTACTGAAATTATACAAATCTACCTGAAATGAGATTTGCCCAGTTTTGTGGGACACAGTCGGGGAAAATACACACCTCAAAGAAATTAAAAATAAACGTTTATCAATTCTTAAAGGTAGAATTAAAATAAATTCAGTCTACACCATTCTACACGTTCATAAGCAGCAAGAGAGAATTCCTAAATCATAACATACCAGTACAATATTGAATTTTCTCTGACTGTGTGGTAAAAACAGACTCGGACACACAATGAAAAGCAGCAAGGCATACATGTTTCCAAGAAACATTATGCTTTGAGGGTCGCAAAACGTATTGTGCACTTGACTGAAAATTAGGGTTTGTCAGACCAACAACACTGATTTGGTGTTGTATGGGAAGGAGCATGGTAGACAGGGACTGAACATGTCAACTGACCGACAGCATAGTTGAGATAAAAAAAAGGAAAAAATAAAATTAATTATTTATATATACTGTATTTCAAGATGCCGGCTGGATAAAATCTTGTACATGCCGTAGTTTGGAGACACCTGCATTAGATGACCAGCTACTGGTAAGATTGATTCGAAAAGCTGAAGCTTGATCCTTCGGGCACATACGCAGATGGTTAATTTGATTTAAGTTACAGTACTGTACTAGGTATGATACCCAGTGGTGCCCGGGTCAGCCCAGTCTCTGCCTCTGCCTCTCTCGCTCCCTTATTGTATCTGACTGTGTCTGTCTGTCCTTCTCTCTTCCTCCCCAGTATCACGCATCACTATGTAACATAGGGGACACCCTCTTCATGATGTCATGGATGCAACAGATGCCATGGCAAAAATGTGTGTGGGGCTAGCTAGCTAGCTCCAAGCATCTGCCCTCTGACTTCAAACAGACATTCTAATCTACACAGATTATAGGGCAAGCATCAGTCTGTGTTTGGAAGGACAGTCATTCAGCACTATATACACAGGTCAATAAGTACCTGGTACAACAATTATCAAGAGAAGGCACAGAACCTAGAAGACTAGCACCTGACTTTTACAGAATGGTAACAATTTCCTAGATATCATTCAGGATGCTAATATGTGAGCAAAAGATAGAAGAAGAATGATATCAAAGTATCAGATTCAATAAGGATTTTATATAGGGACAAATGACTCGAAGGAACGTTGGAAAAACAAGGCACAGAGAATCACATTAACATGATGTATCAATGAGAAAATCATTAGGGAAAATTTTGAGAAAATCGGTGAGAAAATTTTGACCGTGTCGTGGCCTAGTTGTCCAAGGCGTTTGCTTTCGAATACCCAGAGTATAGGTTCGAATTCTCATCATAGCTCCTACTGATTTTTTCATTGGGAAAGCAAGAAATTTTATCATCTTGAAAATCAGGTCATTCTATGCGATGCATAACTTAGCAGTCAATACAGTTTTGAGAGTAAGGCTCTCTTATTCTTTGAGAGTAAGGCATAAGTCTTTATTCCAGTAAGTGCCCCACAGGTTAATCAATTCACCTTCGCAAATAGAGTGGTAGACGGTTGGAACAAGTTAAGTGAGAAGGTGGTGGAGGCCAAGACCGTCAGTAGTTTCAAAGCGTTATATGACAAAGAGTGCTGGGAAGACGGGACACCACGAGCGTAGCTCTCATCCTGTAACTACACTTAGGTAATTACACTTAGGTAATTACATGTATTGAATACATAAATCTAGCCAGAGGCAATATCCACTTCCTGTTATGGTGTCAGGATGAAAGTCACAATGATAGGTTATCTTGAGATGATTTTGGGGCTTTAGTGTCCCCGCAGCCCGGTCCTCAACCAGGCCTCCACCCCCAGGAAGCAGCCCGTGACAGCTGACTAACACCCAGGTACCTATTTTACTGCTAGGTAACAGGGGCATAGGGTGAAAGAAACTCTGCCCATTGTTTCTCGCCGGCGCCCGGGATCGAACCCGGGACCGCAGGATCACAAGTCCAGTGTACTGTCCGCTCGGCCGACCGGCTTCTCCGGTCCTTCCCTTTAGGTCACATTATTAGTACACAGTTTGTTATTTCTAATAGCTTGCCATCTTTCCAATGGTTACAGCTTACATTATGAATGACTGGTTAGAAATCTAGGTAAGGAATTAGTTTTGGGTAGATGGGACAGGGACAAATGGCTTCTTTAATATCCATAAGGTCATTAAGAGGCAACACAGATATGACTGGGAACCCAGTAAAATTTAACTGTCTTACATTAGCCCTTCCTCCTGTTTTGGTAATACATACTTGTAGAAAGGATGAGGACCATAGTACATACACTAATGTACAGTACAATGCAATTAGAAAATAGAAATCGGAAATATTGAATGTGGACAAACCGGAAAGTTATTTCTACTTATGTTGCAAAGACAAACTAAACTAAACTAACCCAACCTTCCTAGGTCTAATACATGCTATCTGAGGCCTAATATTTAAAATAGTTTTCTTAGCTTCATATTTTTCTGACTATATAAAGTAAATAATACAAAATTCTACTATCTAATTGCATAGTACATCAATGTTTGTATTATGGTGCCCATACTTACAAACTACTATCTAAACAGGAGGATAGGTTGCTTACATTGGCTAAAGATGAGTTACAGCCAGTGTTTGGTTGTGATCATTGATCATAGAATGTAAAAGGTTAAAAAACTCGAGCCATGCGTGCACTATGAGTCAACTACAATAACAAACGAATATTGGCACATGAACAGTAATGGTTTTGAGATTATAAAATTACCAGTACACAATTAGGTTGTAAGAATACTCTTCTCTGGGAAAGGTGACAGATCAGAGTTTGATTAGGAAAAATAACTGGGTAGCCTACACCATCAGCAGACTTCAACCCATCTGTAAACAAAGCAGCTGGATGTAAATGGCAGTGTAAATGTAAGGAAAAGGCATGTCATGACAATAGGGGGTTATGAGCCTTCATACTGGATAGGGCATTACAAAATTTTACAAGTGGGACACACTACTGGGGTAAGGTAGGAATGAACACTAGGGAACACATTACTGTATACTTTAATTAATAGTAATAATTCATTGTCGAGGGACAGGCAGCCAAAATGCATTCGTACATGTTAGGCTTATATTGAGGTTCCTCCCCCATCCCCCAAAGGTCGAATTACTGACCCCACCCAGGATGCAACCCCACAACAAGCTGACCAACTCCTGAGTACCTACTTACTGCTAGGTGAACAGGGCCATTAGGTGATAGGAAATGCACCCAACCATTTAAGTCCCGCCCGGGATTCGAACCCAGAATTTTCAATTGAGTCAAGAACGAACCCAACTGTACTACCGGGATCCCTATATTGCCTGTTTACAGCAATATGTGTAGTAAAAGATAGCATAATTAGAGTCAGCAGGACTTTCAATAGGAACAACAGTCAAGGTATGGTACAAGCATTAATTGGAGATTTGTAGGGACCACCTGACATAAGGGGCCCTTTCATTCTTCTCCAATTCAGAACTTAACTAAGGTGCAAGTTCATGTGATGCAAAATGTCAAGATGGAGAAGGACCAAGGGTGAAGCTGGAGAATATGCTGCACATCTATAGTCCAGTTTAGACAGCACTAGGAATAAAGATACTATACTGGTAGTGTACACTGAACCATAAGTGTCCCCATTCTTAATATTGGGTGATATTGAAAATACAGTTACAGAAAATGCGCCTTTATTATTCAACCATTTCAGGTAGAACTTTGAGATCATTGTTTCTACACACATTTCAATTTATAAAAAGTGAGAAACATACAGGCAATATTGTTTTGAAAGCAAACCAGTCTATAATACTTTAGATCTGTGTTTACACCAATACTGAGCAGGATTTTTGAACTCTGGATCAATCCACCAAAATACTTTTTCTGGCCTTGTTTTAGATTCCAGCTTACGGTATAGCTGAACTTAACATGCTCTTTACCAAATTTGTCCAGCTGTGTTACTCAATCTGCACAGTATTTGCAGAAGTCAACATTTTCTTTTGCACTCGTGTAAACATTGTGTTTCCATTAACTTTTGACTTGTTGGTTAACTATGTTCCCCCTTTAGAATACAACTTGTGTTGAGGAGGTTTGTGTGATCATATAATCCAGAGAGCAGTTCAGTTTGGTTTGTTAGGATAGGAGACATCCAGAAAGGATGGGATGCTCTTAGACTAAGTCCTGTGATTCTCTTGGAAATCCTTTTGGGGGACTTGGCCAAGGTTAGTGAACCTTGTCTAAAGATTGCATGAATATTGTTTGTACAGTACCAATGATGTTACAGCACCAGTGAAATGATTGTTACAATTTATTTTGATTACAAACAAGGTCAGTACAGTGCTACTGCAGCCCATTATCAGGCCTGAAATGTGTAAATATTATGAAAAGAATGAAACATAACATGTTGTGAAGAACTGCTCAGAACTGACAGTGTAACATTCCCATCAATTCTTTCAAACTGTACAACAACTACTACATATTAAGCAAAAACTCTGATTTAATTGAAGAGCATACACCATCTGATACACATTAATTTAGTATGTTATTTCCTAATAACTGTACTGTATTTCCTTCATCCAATACTCCACCAGTCTATATAATTGACCTGAGAATGGGTTAGTTATTGATGGACATACAAATTGTGACTTTATGCTGTTATTTTTTCTGGCTATATGTACAGTATGTCACCATCCTGTATATACGATACATCTATATTAAACATTTTACCAAAGTAAAAATGGATATACAGGCATCAACTGTGTGGGGATATTTTAATACCTGTAAATTCACATTTTAGAGATGTGCTTTACTGCCCAAATTTTATTAATGTACATTGAATCTCTTTGGGTTATAATCTTATAATTACAGCATTATTTGTCTTACTTTAGTGTTCACCGTTTAGCACAGATTTACTCTTTATAATACATATATTTTTAGAACGAGCTACACAGTTTTCAAGCACATTAATATGCTAAATATGGAAAAAATTCTGCCTTTACAAAATTGATTCATCCTCAAAGCTTATTTATATTCTTGGTAGCGCCCTTGACGTGCTACCATAATACAATACCTGATATAAAGAATATATAGCAGTTTCCCACCCCCATGAACATGGTAATAATGATGTATATGTATGTAGTTCAGTTATATCAAACATTTTGTATAGATTAAAAGCTACCATTGAATGTAATGAAACACCTCTTTCTGGTGGGTCTTTGTAGTTATTTTGGGCTTGCTGCCTGGCACTATATACCCAATTCAATCAATGCCAGCCTTAGTGAGTCATATAAAACTACCTGCCTCTATAGAAGTGCAAGGAGCAGGGGGATTTAAAATCACTCTAACCAGAAAGAGGGCGAGACAAAATATGACAGCTAGGTAAAATGCCCAAATGTGTTCCTTAAGAGCATATCATAGTTGAATTGGTAAAGTAATTTAACCTGTGATCTGCCCAAATCCACTGAGTCTTCATGCACTGATCTGGGAACCAATCCCAAGTTTTTCCAAACTACCCACACAGTGGTGTAGGTAATGTAGTTCCCCACCAAATTCTCCCTTTAAATAAAATGGGAAATCACAATAGCATAATTTATCTTTGTGAAAATCATTGGAGCTGGTTCATCCTGCTCCAATGAAGGTGCAACAACCCTTGTACCTTTAGATGGGGTCAGGTTTTGGTCTCTGGTTCCCCCCAGTAGGCTCAAATATGACTCGCTGAATTCTGATGTGGATTGAATTGGGTGGAGCTTGCCAGACTGCAAGCACCAAGGAGATACTTAAGGATCCCAGAAAATCATTAAAGTATTGTCCTAAAGTCAATCAAATATATATTGTTACCATCTTGCACTTCCATTTATAAAATATTGCTATATAGATTTTCCATGACAATTATGATTATCCTTATAACTTTTGATTTAAAAAGTTGTAAATGCCTTACAGTACAATAGAAAGTTATTTTCAGATTTACACTTATCTGAAAATAAATCTCCAAGTCAACAAGCTTTCAGTAGTTTAATTTATTTAGTACATGTAATATCACAAAATATTTAGTGAAAAATCACACATTTGTATGCTGTATATGCTATAAATGACAATCATTAAATCTCATATGAAGTGCTATTCGTTTCAACTTAAATACTAGCCATTAGTAACAAATGGACATTAAATCTCTAACCAAGAGTATTCGGGAAAATAGACTTTTAGGTTTAATAACAAGAGAATTCCACATTTAGTGGATGTCACACTGGAAGAACAACTAGTGTCGGTGGCCAAGCCTTATCCCTCTTTGGTTGCATATGCCAGGAGTAGAAGAAAATGGGAAGCTGGAAAATCAGTCACCTCCAACCTTTTCATCCATTTTTTTTTTTACCTGTCAAGGTCACCATAAAATACATGTTAATATATGTAACAATTTGTTTCACCACTGTATAGGTAAATAATTTGATCTATTATCTTCTCCATACAATTTGTTGACAAATTAAGTAATAAAAACATCATGAACAAAACATTTTTTCAAAGCCACTTATATCTAAAAATAAATCTAAAATCTAAGTAACTACTGTAATTGGAAGAGTAATGAACATATAAACTCAATTGAAAGATTAGTTACCCAACAAATATATAATGTGGTTGGCATTATACCATAATGCCAAAAAAAAAAAGGCATTCAGTACTGTACATAATTGGTTTGGCTGTTCAGGCATCTGTGTCTGTACATCCATTTGTCCCAAATCTTATGCCGGTACAAAATATCACAAGAATGACAAAATAATAAAAAAAATTGCAATCCTGTAGATACAAATGTTTGAATTCCTCATTAAATGCTGATTGTTAAAAAAATCAGATCGAGATCTGCACAACGAGATCTGTCACCACCACTCGCGTAGTGACAACTGTTTTTCTAGCATTTCTCATTCCCATGAAGGGTCACATACACAGCTATCTGCAAAACATTTACATACTGGCCTACCAATCCAAGAGTCCTGAGTTTGATTGTCAGTGAGGCAATGGTGCTTCAAATTGGTTCAAGGTAATTTCCAACAACCCATCCTCTTAAAAATTAACGCCACTTTTCGCCTGTATGCACGTTATGGCTAAAAATGAACGTACAGTAACTTGAAATGAAATCAGCTCGCGAAAGTGACGTAATGTCCCGTTTTCTGTTAAGAGTCCTCTGGTTTACTCTGTTAGGTTAGGAGAGGAAACTTTCAATTAACGTTTTGAAACCTTAGGAGAATTTCCTGCCCTCCTAACCTACCAGAGGACCCTCAAATTGTAGAAACAAAAAATTAAAAATTTATTAAATTTTTTTTCAAATTACCTCCATTTTTGGGCAAACGGCCAAATTCAAACACACAGGTAATTTATAAGAGAACAGGTCATTTCCAAAGTACTGTATAACTATGTCCCCACCCGCTTTGGGCACACACCTCCTGTGCCAGGCGAGTACGACGAGCTCACCATAGCCTGTGCTACTTGGAACTTTTTGTTCCAAGTAGCTGAATCTGAAACAACAACCACCACCACCACTCGCTTCGTTAAAAATATCCCTCCGAACAAAGGCGATAAACTTTCATGTCTTGCTCTGTCTGCAATATTAAATCCAAACACTAAATATGTGCTGCTGGTTCTTGCACCGTTGGTCCCCAGCAAGGGTAAATTGCCCACTTTAAAAAAATAAAAAAAAATAGCACACACAACTTGACCTGCCACCTTCATTTTTTGCCTATACTGGAATCATTTTGGAAGTCTCAACAATACATGAAGTCATGAACAGAAATAGAGACTCTTTAATCAAGTTTTCTTAACTTCTAAGTATTTAAGTTAACAGCACATCACTCGGTTTGATTTTAAGAACTAGCAGGATAACATGCAATTCTTTAAGATTTGTGATTACAAAGAAAACATGCTTTGTTGCAATCGGGTTTATATTTTTTTCTTAAACTACTCAAAAGTTATGGCTACTTATATCATGCGAGTAATATTGATGAGATACATCAATGGTGAGCATACCATTTATTATACACTTTATTATACATAAAATAGTGCTCTCTTATTGCAAGATAAAAAAATCTTCAAATGATAACAGACTATATCATTCTAAGTGCTTTTTATTTTTTAATGGCCATTAGATATACTTATATATTTTAACTTCAACATAAATACTGTAATTTTTGATTGGAGCTTTAACAGAACATGTCTTCCATTACATGTACACTCCTTAGGAATATTTATAATAAAGTACACTTGAACAGCCTGAGATAGTAGATATAAACTAGTAAAACAAATACATTGCTGCATCCTTAAAAACAAAAAATTATCTAAAACACGTATTAAGTACAACAATGTTGGAAGCAAATTAAAAGTGGTACATTATTAAACTGTAAATTCATGATCACCGAGCTACCTGGCATACATCTAAAATTATCCAATTTTTAGTAACCCCCCCTCCAGGAATAATCTGAAACTTTTATTTTAGTTCTCATGTTCCAAAACCACATTGCCAGTTTGCAAAGCAAGTAATTATCATCGGAAGGTGCCAAGCCGAGAAGACTATGTAGCACCAACTGTCAAGGGAGATTCCTAAATAAATATATTGAATTATATTCAAAAAGGTGCTCAATATTATTCGGGATGCCACTACAAAATCAAAGGGACATAAGGAAAGCGACATCAAAGGCAGAGAAAAATCACAGGGGGGAAGGAAGGGCGAGACCATTTAGGGCAACCAGGAAAAAAAAGTGTTACACCTTCAAATTGTTGAGAACAAAAATTTGAGAAGGTACCAACTCTCACTTGAAATGAAGGAAGAAGCTTTAAAGGAAAGGTAGGAGATTGCCATGAAGGCTAAAGAATGCAGTTGGACTAAAATATTTTATCTCCAGGTGGTATCATAAGCCTTCTCCAGGTCAAAAAGAACTACAACAACAGAGAATTCACAGCAAAGGCAGCATGAATGTAGACCACAAAGTTCATCAAGATCTCTATTGTGCTGCAACACTTGTGAAAGCCAAATTGGGAGTGGGAGAGGTAACTGTTCCTGGAACCACACGTGACATACATTAACCATATATTCAAAGAGTTTGCACTTGGAAAATACCAGGAGGACTAGTTCCAAATCTGCACTCAGAAATAACATCACACAAGACCAGAAGGTATGGCAGGATGTGCAAAAATAACCCTATTGAAAAACCAGGTGCAATAGGCATGCCAAGAAAGAACTCTACCAACATCAAACACCTAAGACTTCAAAACTCCCCCTACACTTGGAGCATAACTAGCCGACCTCTTGAAATGTTAAAAAAAAGAGAACTTGACAAGCACCTTCAAAGGATACCTGATCAATCAGAGTGTGACTCATACATCAGACTAAAAACAGCCATATCCAACCACCTGTCTGACCAGACCACCAACCAGAAGGCCTGGTCAGATATTGGGCCACAGGAACATTTATCCTCTGAATCATTGACAAGTAATAAATGTCTAAAAGATGTTAAAAGATCAAAGATATATTTGAAACACATGGTAGAAGATGAATGAAACAGATGGTATACCAATTCTTCACAAAGACACGAGCAGCACTGGAATGAACATTTGAAAAAGAAGGAACAAAAGGAAATCATTCTGAATCAAGAGAGCAGTAGAGTTAACCCTACCAGAAGAAGCTGGAGGAGAGAAAGAAGTAACTACAGAATTGACAAAGACTAGTGCCAAGCATTGTGTTTGTCTTCAGGAGTCAGTGGTAAAAACAGATCAAAAGTTGCAGTTCATTAAATTTGGCGCTACTTCATTGTTTAAAACATTTGGCAAAGTATGTTTAACTGCCAAAAACTATTTAACCATTGTTAACAGTGAGTTATATGGAAAGAAAAAAAGGGTCAATTTAAACATGCTCCATTTTATGATACATTTGTTTTTAATTTAATAACTTAACATAGCATCTTTCAAAAAATAGAATTCTTACTGGTTTAATGGCTTGAATACGAGTTTGCAGAACCCCTATTAATATTTTCAGGAGCTTGTTTTTGGTTCACCATGACTAATTTAAATTGTACATATCCAAGATTTAGAGTATACCAGGCATCAATAAATTTTTATAGTGAATATATCACTTAAAAATTATTACAGATTGCAAATGTAGATAAAGACCAATATAAATTGTTTTACAAATCTCACTAGGTCACGAATCCACAAAATTTCTTATTTCACCAAAAGGGCTTGGAAATTTAAAGAACTGGCACAGTAGGTGAAGATGAATGTCTTCCACTGGAAATGTAGTTCACATGCCATTAAATAACCACATAATAAAACTTTCTTGTCCTTACAATAATTAAAATCGGTTTTTACTTTTTTTTTAATAATAAAAACTACTCTATTAATGCTGCAAGGAACTGCCGGTATAAAGCATGATCCTGGTCAGATCAGATTTCCTATTACAGTATTAGACTTACCACTATCAACCTTAAATACTGTATTATTTTCTGGAGATTTTTGATTTTTGGTAAGGATGACTAGAGGAATGGTGTGGTCTGTTTGAGGAGCCCTGCAGTTTGGTCCCTGGTTTTTTCTCAATAAATGCGTACGTCACAGAGGTAGGTCGAGTGGCACTAGCTCCAACGTCTGGAGTTAGGTTCATCTTAAGGTTATCTTCTTCAAGTAGCTTTAATTTAGCCTCTAATGCAGCAATTTTGCTCTTTTTGCTGTAAAAACAATTGTTTGTAAAGGATTATGCATTAAAATAAAAATTAATGAATGCAAGAAGAAAGTTGAGAAAAAAAGCACAATTAAAAAAATTACACACACACAGTATATACAGTACAATATTTTAAATTCGGCCTACCTTATTTGAGTTGTCTCTGCTTTACCACCACTAAGAATAGGTGGTGCTGGCTTTTCTTTATTCCTCTCATACATACTCTAAAAGCAGGAACAAAAATTAGAGAATTAACATTTCTCATTAATATTATGTGGAGTGCTAAAGTCAAGTGCACAAAACTGAAGAGTGTTTGATACAGTTTGGGCAAGGCAAATGAATTTATGATGGTACAAAGTTGGAAATTAATTATTCACATGAATTTGTGGGTAGAAGAAGGCCAGGTAGACATGGTGCATGAGGAAGCAGTGTATGCGTGTGAACAATGCACGGGACATGACAATGTATAACTCGGGGAGGACAAGAAATTTGTAAGGATGCAGTGAATCCATTTGTCCCATATATGTCAAGTTATTCAAATGACTTCCCATTTTAATTTAGTTTTTGTTTTCCCAAAGATGCTTTGCTAACAATATTACTGCACTTTATGATTGTGGATTTTATGTACAGTAATTCTATTGTAGAATAATCTTAATTACTAATAACCAAATGAAATTTAAGTCATTAAATTAATGTAATCTTTAAATTTCAGACAAACATGAGCATGAATATACAGTATATATTAAATTTTACATTTAACTACCCTGTATGTACTATAAATTTCTGATATTGTAATTGTACCAAACATTGCTATTAACTTGCTACATACAATACCAGTTGTGTAATTATACTAACCAATATTGTTATTAAATCTTAAAGTACAGCACATCATAAGGACATTCTAGTACTATGCCATGACTACTCAGTAAATATATTGTGTTACCTCATCCTGAGCATGTGCCCATTTCACTGCCATCCTCCGACCCAAGATAATCTTCCCGTCAAGTACTCTCATAGCCGTTTGGGCCGACTTGGAGGATTCAAATGTCACAAAGGCATATCCTCGGGGCTGTCCAGCTTGAGGGCCCGAGCGATGATAAAGAAAGTCGAATTCCACCAGCGGGCCAAAGTTTTCCACCATTTTAAGGAGTTGATACCAATTGGGGAGAGAAAAAATCCTGGATTAGATATGCACAACATCACCCAAATTCAGGTTCAAACAACTATGTAATCACAACATATTACAGTATAGCATTATACTACAGACTGTTTTCTATCAATAATAATTTTCTTTGAGAAAATTAGTTGTAGCAATTATTTCTGACATTACTTTCTAATTGGTTTAAATTTCCTGCATCCATGAGACTGAACTGTATTGTGGGCCAAGTAAATTGTTTTACACTTTGGGTGTCTAATTTGTCTTGGAATATTTTGTTAAACTTTAATTCTGTTTATTATTGCCATCAATAATATTTTTTTTCAGACATGACAAGAAATTTGAAATAGTTTCCAAAAGCTTCCAAAATGGTTGCATATAGTAAAGTCTCCCATATTCGGCCCATTACCAGTCCTCGGACTTTGGCAGTTCAAAATTACCAGAGGACCACCATCTTTCTAGAGGCCTAGATGGGAACAAGAAGGCTTTTCAAATGTCCTCCCATTTTTCCCCAGGGATTTTTTCTAGCTGGATTTTGAACTGCAGTAATAACTTGGCATTTACAGCTTCAGTGGGCAGGCAATTCCATGGATTTATATCCCTATTGGTGGAAAAGCATCCGTTTTCTATCCTACACTGGCTTGTTGAGCTTGAAGCCATTGCTCCTTGTATGTCTTATAGTTGACCTTTTAACCCCCTTAATAAGTTTAAATAGCCTGCACAATTGTCTTATGAAAAAAAATGAAACCATCAGGAATACTTACTCTCTCAGCCGAGAATCAAGATTGCCAACCCACAATCTTCTATCATCTGTTCTTGCTGAATCCTTGGGAGGAAGAGGTACTGGCAGAGTGACCTCCTGCAACAGAAAAAAAACAGGAGATTAATGTAATGAAATGCCAATTTCTGGCTGACCCCCTTGTGGCTCCCTGAAGCTATACACCGAGATGGTTCCCACATACCAGGTCACATCAGCCGTGAAGTTCCATAGGCCTACCTGGAACCAGCACTAGAACCTGGCCTCCTCAGAAAGGCGCAGGAAGCGGTGAAAATTTGAAAACTCATGGGAAAGACAACCAGAAAGTCGAGTCAATACAAACCACTGTTAAATTCAAAAAGAGACTGAAGCTTCAAAACTTGCCTAACAAACTCCCTTGTGTAAACAAATCATCAGATTCTCTCGAAACTAGTGCGAGTTCATCCCCACTCATTTGTAAGGGGAGGCAAGGTGTAACTTGCTAAAAGTACTAAGGCAGAGTACAGGCTTGAAGTGGGAGTTACCACCCTACTCTTGTGCCAGGTAAGTCCACTACGAGCTCACCATACCCGACGTTACTTGCAAATTTTTGTTCCCAGTAGCTGAATCTAAAACAACAGCAGCAGCAGTTTGAAGTAGTGTGCACTTTTGGCTAAGCTACTAATAATGCTAAACCATTCTGAACAAGTCTGGACAAATCAGTAAAGTGTCTAGTATATAAGGGATACTGCTCAACATGTGTTGCAGCTGGCCAAGACCTGCAAAGGCAAAGCAAACAGTTCTCTCAGATGGATTTCAATGGAATTAAAAATCCTACAAATTCCAGCCTAACAAAATTCCAGCCTCTGAACTATAAACAGATGTAACACTTTGAAAACCTGCTTTCTTTAACAGTTTGAATACTAGTTGACCTTGCCCGCTATAGAAATGCCTGTGTAAGGTGCGACTCTTACCCTTAGCAGAGAGAGATACCCTTAGGATAGGAGAGGCTAATCTTGTGTACAAAGATTAAAAAAAACAATTCTACTCAATAAAAAGGTTGGGTTCTAGAGTCCTGGAGTGAACCATTAACTGTACGAAGGTGAGCGTATCAGAGAGACCTTGCATGCCACACCCCGTGTTGAACATTTGCCACACGCCTAAGGCATTGCTTAGCCATAAGAAAGATACTTACGGCTGTCATCCTTCCGAGCTTGAAGGAAATCAATAACAACCTTACTGGAGACGTCTTCAGCAGTGTTGCCACCCCACATCTCTGTCTGCAGGGGGCAGCTCCTCGCTAACATTATACATTCATTCACGGGCAATCTGGTTAATTTATTGTTTAATTAGTTTATTGCAGCACATATAGTCACTCTGGAGTTGGCAGGAAATAACACTAAAATCATCAAATTATTTAGAAAACTCTTCTATTTTTTCGAGTTATTTTTTTTTAAGATTTGCCAGAAATGCTAAACTTAGATCTATACATTGAGTGGCCTTATAAAAATAATTTTACAAATAAAAATGAATATTAATATGGACATAACCACTTTATATATATGAGTATCTATATATTTTACAGGTAAAGAGTGTTTTGCATAACTATCATAAATGCGGATTGGTAGAGGTAGAGGCACGACGCTTCAAGAACGTATACAGCATAAGTGGCCGAGCCGGATAAGCCAGATACCCATCTAGCAGAAGACACGGCTATGGCAACTCTAGTGCAGAAGGTTAACGCCAGCCTGAGCAAGGCTGGCCTCAGACCCATCACCAGGGACAGTGTCCTGTACTACTACGCCCCTATGAAGGGCTGCCTCTCCTACGGCGTCCTCAGTATACAGATGTTCACCCCGGAGCTGTTTGAGAACTTCCGCTTCTTGTGAGAGTCTTATTCTAATCCCCGTGGTTTTCCTCCCAGTTTTCCAGTTTTGTCTCTGATATCTTGTCACGTTTGTGGTGTAAATGAAAGTGTATTTGGACATTGTGAAATTTGTTAGGTGTGTGTAAAGGAGTTTGATGGTAGCGGGTCTCTGGCATGGCTAATCTTCTTTATGGGAGAACCATTTTGTTTCTCCTTTACTTTTTTATGTTAAGTTTCTTGGTGACAGCTGCCAGTACTTGACAGTTATACAGGGAGAATTTAGAAAGTGCATTTACAAAATAGATGCTATGAACATATAATTATCATTTTGGGATAAGAAACTTGTGGATAGGTTTAATAGGCTTGTATCAAAATCCCCCCTAGGTTGAACTACAGTACTGACTTTTCCCAGGGTGCAACCCTACAACAGATGCCTGACTCCCAGATATCTATTTGAAGCTAGGTGGACAGGGGTGTCTGGTGAAAGGAAACGTGCCCAACCATTTCTGTCCCGCCCTGGAATTGAAGCAATAATTAATTTCCAGTTAATTTAGCCCTTTCTGTCATGATGTTTGATAGGTACATACTTGGTCATTTATTATATTTAAAATTTAATTTAAATTTCATTTTTAAATTTAATAATAAATTTAAAAGTTAATTTAACGAGCCATACTTGATCATTGCAAGTTCCAGTTCATATTTTTTATGATTCCTATCATTCTTATCATATTGTCATAATGACACCTTGTAATACTTTGATATTTCTACATGAAGTTCAATATGGACCACATATATATAATTACTATATCCAAGTCTGGAGACCTCATCTTCAGAAGAACATATCTGCTTTGGAGAAAGGTCAATACCAGGCAACAAAAATCATTCCAGAACTTTATTGACTCTCATACCAGGAAAAGACTGAGAGCCGCAGGACTAACAACACTGCAAACCAAACATAACTGATCTCATCGAGACTTAAAATACGGAACAGTTTGGAGGATATTGATCCAGACCATTTCCTTGAAAGCTCAGATGTAACTCACAAGGAGCAATGGCTTTGTTTAACAAGCCACAATGTAGGGCAGAAAACAGGAGTGGCATTTTCACCCCTAGGATTATAAATCTATGGATCATCCTACCCGCCGAAGCTATATGTGCTAAAACATTGCTTTAATTCAAGATCCAACTGGATAGCAGCTTCAGAATAAATGGGAGATCTCTGACAAGCTACCAGCTTTCTGTCCCTGTTGAACCCACTAGTGAGATGATGGCCATCAGGTAAATTCAGTTAATAAATTGTGGTGCAATTGTCTTAATTATTTTTAGTAACCAATCTACCTAGTCATCAAACATATTCTCTTCTCATTTGTGCTGACTTTAACCATGTTTCTACTCAAAAATAATTTATTAAATGGGAAATGAACACAGTCCAGAACAGAAATGTGTACGACAATCCTGTCTTATTTCGGGATCCAGGGGGTCCCTGTAGTACCTTAGTCAGGTTTGTTCTCAACTCTCAATCGAGAATTTCAGGTTCGAATCCCGGGCAGGATAGAAATGGTTGGACCCATTTCCTATCACCTAATGCACCTATTCACCTAGCAGTTAGTAGCTACTTAGGAGCTACTCAGTTTGTTGTGGGGTTGCTTCCTGGGCAGGGTCAGTAATTCAACTGGGGAGGGGGGGGTCGATATAAGCCTAACGTGTATGAATGTACTCTCGCTGCCTGTCCCTCAACACAATGAATTATTGTTATTATTATTATTACTGTAATCTGCACAATACTATCTTCCTAAGAGATGGATATGTGGTTCATAAAGAACTGAAATGTTTGAGTAGAAAGTCGGATGCAATCGAAGGCGTCTATTCTGGTAGTACAATCATTTATACAGTACAGTACTTTAAGAGGCCTGGTCAGAGACCGGGCCGTGGGGACCTTGAACCCTGGAACCACATCAAGGTAAGGTAAGGTAAGGTACTGGTATTAGGTTGTAAAGGAAAGTAACAAAGGCTGGCTTGTGGATTCACTGGACTAGATTTTATGCCAATTTCTTTTACAAAACCTTTTTAAAACACTTTCTGTACATGTTCAATTGTTTGAATAAATAAAAACATAATACCATTTGGTATAAAATAGTTGAAAAAGGAAAACTTTGACTGTTGTGAGTTCTGGATGCCATAGCCAGGAAGATTTTGTTCTTTCAAGCAGGGCTTAAAACCAGGCAAAATTTGCCTTGATAATTTTCAACATAGGTTATTTGTACTGTTATTATGGCATACTGTTTAGTACTCTCGTTCAAATTCATTTTTCTAGGGAACAGATTATTGAGAAAATGTTTGTTTCTTACTCTAGGATGCTTTAATGCAAAAGTACAGTACATTATTCCCATTTCAGGGTTATACCTCATCATATCTCATTGACCAATGCCTGCTTGGTGAACTCTATTTGTGGGACAGGGCTCTACTTATACTCCAGCCGACACTTAGCACAAGCTGCTCGTAAAGAAAAGTTATTATTCTGGTAAGTTAACAGATTTAAAAACAAAAACAAAATTTATTCTTGGTATGCTACATTTTTCAAAACAAAGATCAAATATAAAACATGATTTCTATTTGAGAGCAAATATTTTATTTTCAATTATGTAATGTTCAATGCTGGTATTAAGAAATTATGTACATTAATTTTGGCTTTTAATTCTTAACATCTCGATATAAAGTTTCCTGTTCTTATTAATGATTTGGTCCTTGTAATCATAATGTCATTGCTACATTTCCAGCAGCATGTAAAGATGAAGGATGAGTATTTATTGCTACAATATAGCATCTATGCATTCTGCAGTCTTCGTGAAACAGAATTACTATTGTATATATATATTCAATATTAAGTTCTTTTGGCGTTAAAATGTTAAGAACTTCTGTTGTTTTAGGTGAAGGGAACATTCTAGGAAGAATGCCAGGAATTTAAATTCATTATACAGTACATGAATGCTAGAAGCATAAATAAATAAATTTGGCACATTAGGCATTTATATTGAGGCAAAAAATTGTATCATCATTGCAATCAGCAAAAGATTAGAACAAGAAGAGATAATGGAACAGGAATCTCATCTCCCGGGACACCACTCGGCATTTAGAAAGAACAGAACAGGAAGAGGAGCAGGTGGTGTAAAAGGACAACAACTAGAAGGGCTGTTGTAATCTTTTGTTACTTTTAAAAAAAACTCTTCTGTAGAGACATCATTTAAAGGATGGCCCATTTTAGGAAGACTCTACTGTATACAAGTTAAAAAGTGCAGAGAAATATAAAGCAATACAGTGGAACCTCAGTACTTGAACTTAATTGGTTCCAGAAGGCTGTTCGATTACCAAATAGTTTACCATGAAAAATAATGTAAATTGGATTAATCCGCTGCAGATCACAAAAAATACACATACACACAATAGCTAGAATAAATGCAAATTTATTCTCACTTTACCTCGACTATCCAAGTGGTTGTGCACCATTCCTTTCCCCATCCCATCCCAAATCCTCATCCCTTCCAAGTGCTATATAGTCATAATGGCTTGGCACTTTCTCCTGAGAATTCCCCTCTCTTCCACTCACTTTACCTAGACTTGGGAGAGTTGATGGCACATGTGGAAGGTGGTTAAGAGGAGGAGGAGGAGAGATGTTATTGCTTGGCTGAGGAGTCCCCTACCATAAAAAGTTTAGTAATTGTGCTTCTGGGGTTCTTTCTCTTTTGTCCTTTTTCTACTGCCTTCTTGAGACTTGCTGGATGCTTTTCTTACAAGAAACCTGTCCGATCATATTTGTTTTTGACTGCATTTTAAAATGTTTCTAAACTGAGGCATAGCATTGTTATTCAACAGGTTTATAACACAGGTTGCCACAGCTTTGTCAGAGTGATATTTTTCAAACAAATTTGCACTTTCCCCTCACATTTTGCACACATTTATTTTATTAGAGAACTAGATTTAGACATACCAAACTCTGTAGCAAGAACAGATATGCGGACACCACTTTCATACTTTGCTACGAGTTCTTTTTTCATCCTTATCATGGTTATAACTAATTTTCTTTTTGTTTGATTCTTATCACCAACTTTCTTAGGCACCATTGTCACTTATTTATGCTAAGAATATAACAAATATCCATGAAAACACTAGAAAGTTTACACACACATTTAGTGAGGTTTTACAGTGAACGATAATACTGGAAACTGACTTGTCTGCTATACATATTTACATTTGAGTGCCGAGCAAACGTTTGACTACCAAGCCTTTTTATTCATGAATAAAGTATTCAAGTTTGGAGCCATTCGAGTACTGAGGTTCCTTTGTATATGGATTCAAGATATTATTACCTAGCTGATCCTGCAGGAATAAAGGGATAGTTTTAAATGTTAATACGAAAATAAAATTAGGAACACTAGATTAATTTTTGTTTTCAGTGGGTGCAATTGATAGAAGACACATTATTACCAGCAGTACCTATTTTTCTTTTAAAGAAAAACTTGTCACAAGATGTACAGTATATGTAATTAATATTTATATTTTTCAGCACTTTTGGGACTGTAATGTTTAATCTTGGATCGATGCTGCTCTGGGCGCTGGGCCGCACTGTGGCACCCGAGAACCCAGTCCTCCGCACGGTGATGGGTGCTGCTGGTGCAGCAGGAGCTTTATATCTTGGTAGGAACTATGTTGCTTATTTAGATGCACATGTCAGAACTTCCAAAGCTTAGATGATTGTAAACACTTGGTCCTTAACCAGTGCTTCCAACACAAGAAGATTTATTGTAAACATAATAAAATATAATTTATTACATGGTATGTATACTGTAAAGCACAACAGGTAATATTATAACAATTGCTATTTTGGGTAAATTTCAAGCACAATATTTACCAACTTTGTATATATGGTGTAGATGACCGAATGGAAGTTTCATGTTAAGTAGTGAGTTCACAGGCTTATGTAAGGGTGTAATAAACCTGCAATATTGTATTTAATCATGGCTTCCAAAATATTTGTTCTTGTTATTTAACTCGTGTTAAAGCACATTATTGTATATTATTCAGTCTCATCATCTGTGACAAAAACTTCATAATTTAAGAACATTCTAGGAACAAAGAACAATAGAAAGCACAAATATGGTGGTTCAAATAAAATTTTTGGAACATGTACTGTACGTGAAGTGAAGTAAAACTACTGTAGTTTTGATGGTATGATTTTTGTAACGTGTATTTTATCAAGACCTGAAGTTTACACTAGATGTGCTAAAATCATTTTCCACTAGTGGTAAATCTGCATCTCTGATATTTGTAATTATTTTGTGCATTACTAAGGAAATTTTAGGCCAAGGTTTGAATTTCAATCATTGGGTGAAATTACATACAGCATTCTTATGTTATGATGTATCAATAATCAGGAGCCTTCAGCTGATCATTGACAGAATGCAAAAATTTGCCTTCTAATAGTACATGCATAGCTTGTAAGATGAAAAATCACTTTTCCCAATTTGTAGTTATTCACTATATTTAATGATTTCCTTGTCTGTTGAAGTTATGAGAATGTGCAGAAATAATATATCAATTGCACTTTTACTGCTTTTTTATGATAAATGAAAATATAACTACATTGTATAGGTGTTTATTAGACAGTATTGTATTGAAGTGGTAGTAGGGAGCAGACAATACTGCACTGTATTTGTTATAACATGCACGAAATCAATGTGCCATCAGCTCTTGTCAATATCTTCATTATTGTACAGTACTATACAGTATATCTATTATCCTTAACATAATACCAAGGTACTGCAACTTAATCAAACTAGGTCTATTTGCAGTTTATTATAATGAACTGTTGGTAACATTTTATGACAAGGTGACAGATTCTTTTCAATGAAGGAATATTTTTTAGTCATAGATTTCCATTGACTCCATATAAAGCAAAACAGAAAATCAGTAATAATTTTGAAAGTTAGTGGTGTCAGACTTGTTCTTGGTCTCTTACAGTTACAGGCAAAATATAGGCTCTTTTTCAAGTGTTCTTTAGAATGTTCTTCCATTAGAATTTTAAACAACCATTAGAAAATATAGCAAAATTTGAATATTCGTTTTGATTTAGTGACCAGATATTTATTCTCATCCATGTTTAACAAGACTTAAATAACTATATTTCATTGTGTGATTTGTATTAAAGTCTTTGAACTGATTCCATGTTGAGAGATCTGCCTTAATTAAACTGTAATTTAATTGTCATATAATTTGTATTGCTAGCTCTTGGATAATCATTAAAAATGCATTAAATGAACTGGATCATGCATCTTAAGATATATTTGTTCAGGTGAAACAATGCACTGTTCAGGATCTCTCTGAACACGTCATGCACAGATGACTTATTATAAGTAGATGTATAATGATTTTGTAGTTTTATAGACTTCCTGAAAATTGTATTTATTTTTTATTTTTATTTTTTTTTTTAGTTAAGCTTTCTTGGAAATGTTGATGTTATCTGTTTTACTAGTTAAGCATTGTATTTGTGACTTCAGTATACTGTACAAGGCTTTATTTTGTGCAGAAAATTAGTGATGTAAAAGATTTTTCATTGACTGTATAGATGACTTGTAGCACAAATGTTTTACACTGAAGTAGGGAAAAAGAGAACCTTTAAAATTTGCTGTAATAGTATTATAAAAAATGGGAACACCTGAATTGCAGTGGGCATTTTCTACAGTTAGTGTTAAGAATAATTGATGAGTGTTTAATAAGAATTTTATTTGGTATACAGTACTGTGTATATTTATCTGAAATACTGTAACAGCATTCAAGTGTTTTTGGAAGTTGTGATAAAAATGTTATACACCCTAAAAACTGTTATGTAGCTGTATAATAAAGCTTTCTTTAATGTTGAGTGTCATACTTTTTCATGAACTATAGAAGAAAAAGTAGGTTTCAGTGTGCTTGTAAGATCTATGTAGACCACAGGTTAATTTCTGAGCATCTCTGAGGTACAGAAAGTCGAGGATGCCAAATCATTGAGGAAATACACTAGAAAGGTAAACGAGACAAAAAATACACAACAATAGTGCAAGAGTAATTAAACCCTCCACCCCAGGTAGTTAGGTAGTTCCACCTCCCACCACCAGAAAGCAGCACCAGGATCTGGTGAGTCAGGAAGTGAGCTTGGTGCTACTATCTACAGGAACTCTTCAAATAGTCAGATAACTGGCAAATGCTTTTTAATATTGACAAATGCAAGATCCTGCATGTGAGGCATAACAACCCATGCCACAACTACCAAATAAATAACATTACATTACAGCAGATTGATGAAGAAAAGGGCCTTGGAGTCAAAATCCATTACTCGATAAAAGTTGCACAGCAGGTAGGGGCAGCAGTCAAAAAAGCTAACTAAATCCTTTGAATAATCAAGTGTACATTTGACTTTAAGGAAAAGAAGGTAGTGATTTAATTCTATAAATCTCTGGTGTACCCTCATTTGGATTACTGTATCCAAGCATGAAGACCTCATCTTCAGAAGGATATAGCTGCTCTGAAGAAAGTGCAACACCGGGCAACAAAAATCATTCCAGAGCTAAGTCGACCAACGTATCAGGAACGGTTGAGGGCCACAGGGCTAACAACTCTGCATACCAGGCATGACAGGGCGGATCTCATTGAAACTTACAAAATACTGAACAATTTGGAGGATGTTGATCTGGAAAATTTCTTCAAAAGGTCATGTAACACAAACAAGGAGTAACGGTTTCAAGCTCAACAAGCCACAGTGTAGGACAGAACGGGAGATACTTTTTCACCCACAGGGTTAACCCATGGAACCGCCTACGCACCGAAGCTGGAGATGCCATAAACTTTTAACTTTTAAAGTACTGTACAGCTTAAAAAGATCATCAAGGCAAATGGTGGGACCTTTAAAAAGCTGCTGACTTCCTATCCTCGTTGAGGCCACTAGTGTTTGTGGCTCTTGGGTAAACTCGGGTAAAAAAACTGATGGTCATTCTGTAACTTGTGTATTATACTGCAACACTGATTCATATGCAACTGACAGCTGTCTACCAATAATATATATTAATAAACTTAATAAGAGCTGTCTCACATGATCCAATACACACCTGTAATTTCCTTTAAAACTTCTTAAGTTGGATAGGATTGACTGGGATTGGTTTGGATAGCTTAATTGGGTTAGGTAGGTTTAAAACACCCAATCCTCATCAGTAAAAACCAAATGTTCATTAATCCCAGCCCACCTTCCTGAACAAAGGTCAAATGTTCGTTAATGCCAACCCGCCCTCATCCACGACGGTCAAATACTTGTTAATTCCAGCCCGTCCTCATCAACATAGGCTAAATGCAAGTTAATGCCAACCCGTCCTCATCAACAAAGATCAAATGTGCGTTAATTCCAGCCTTGCCTCATCAACAAAAGTCAAATACTCTTCAACCCCAGCACATCCTTATCAACAAAAGCCAGATGCAGTTTACATACTACTCAACTGATGATGTTCGAACATTAAGTGAACGGTGCTTCACTGACAACCTTTAAATACAAATAATTGCCTAGAGAACCTAAACACTTAACTTAACCCATGCCTAACTATATATAGAACTTAATATATAAATACCAGTACTGTATAGCCTAGTGAGACCTTGACAAGCCTATATAAAAACATATCCAACGAAACTCATTCATTTCAGGGAACAAGTGAAACTTCAAGCTAAGACATAAACTTTATTAAATTAGAGTGTAAGAAATGTTTCACTTGTAACCAAAGTTTGCCATATAAATAGGTACCGGGTAAATATTTTTTCAGTGTGCTCTTTTGTGAATGAACATTTTACAAGGTGTACTTTAAAGGGGAGTAACCAGAGTGCGACACTACACACTCGCCCCTTGTCTGAGCTCTCTACCCCCGTCCTCGACTTAAGTCTTTGTCTCATACTCTATGACACTTCACTACATTACCAACAAACGGACTACTGTATCCAAGACTACTAAATAAATATAAAAAATTATGTGTCTAACCAAATACGTACACGTAAAAATACGTTACAGACTCGATTACGAATTAACACTACTGGCTTATCAACTGTAATTTATGAGATAACAAATTATTAGCGAATAATGCTGATGAAAGTGAACAAGGATAATGACCTGAGTAGTTAATGAGAGGTCTAATGCCCAAAGGCACCCAAAGCCTCTGTAACCCTTTCCTCTACCCCCTACAGGATGGGTGTCAGGTGCCACAAATGCCAAAACTGCCGAACTTTAAATCCAGCTTGAAAAAATCAAGACAAATGGAGGTATCTTTGACAAGCCGCTGGCTTCCTGTCCTCGTCGAAGCCACTAGAGTGTTAGTGACCTTCAGGTAAATTCAGAAAAATAATAGTTAAACTTAAAAGCTAACCTTTGAGGTAACATATAAGTAAAAATTGCATTTTAATTACATAATAATACAACCAAACATTTAATTTAAATTGGTATATCAATGAGATGATGTAATTTGTATGAATTTGCCTGAAATAATGAATAATATGCTTATAGATATTATTAAGACGTTTGATTTTCCCGCTCACGACGTCATGGACTACGAGCACTTATATTCTGATGATGTCTATGTAGACAGTGAGTACATGGCTAAGTACAATTACAAACAAAAACAATTCGAAAACAATATTGATGCAACAAAACAACATTTAACACCAAATTTATTAGAAAATCCATTAAATTTTCTAGTCGCTAAATGTCTACGAACCGTCAAATATAGAAACAACAGTGTTATCAATTATCAAGGTATCAGTAGCTTCACTTGTGCTACATGAGTGGCGTCCTGATATAATAGAGTATTGTATGTTGTTATCGTCTCTTAGGTCCACGGGACCACTTTATCTAGAGCAGCGCCCGCAGTACACCTTCACTCACCCTGCTGAGGTGGTCCTGTAGAAGTGTCGCTGAGGTGGTCCTGTAGAACCGTCGCTGAGGTGGTCCTGTAGAGGCGTCGCTGAGGAGGTCCTGTAGAGGCGTCGCTGAGGAGGTCCTGTAGAGGCGTCGCTGAGGTGGTCCTGTAGAGAACCGTTACTATACGCTGCTAAGGTGATCCTGTATACTCTCTCGCAACTTGATTGGTAAATTTATCCATGGTTTATTTTATATCTCAGAGTAAAGAAGAAAAACTGACCACAATTGGAACTGCGGTCAGTTGTGCAAGAATGGTAACCTTATTGAAGTTGATTGGTAATTATATTTAATTTAGATTATTAGGTAAGCTTAGTAATTATAATTATAATAAAACAAAGTACATAAATTATTAATGATGCTTAATTTAATTTTTGTGTAAGCTTAAAACAGGTAATGACTTTATTTATATATACACGAAAGTACATTGGGTTTCACAAAACTTAAGTTACATTATCTAAAAAGGCGAAGAATTAGGGATGAAAAAAACAGGTGATTTTCTAGGTCTGTTCTATGTTTAGTGTGAGTTTGTTGATTGACATCTATGAGTGGACATTTTTAAATTCATTATTGACAATATTATTTAGTACGTGGGGGTTGGGGGTCAGAATGTATGAAGGTAGTATCGTCAGCAAATAGTATAGGTTTAAGAATGATAGAAACATTTGGCAAATCATTGATGTATTTAAGAAATAGAAGAGGTCCCAAGATGCTACCCTTTGGCACCCAACCCTACTGTCAATAGTTGAGTGGGGGAGGTTATACTATTGATGGCTACATATTGGTGTCATTGAGATAGGAACGAATACAGTCCAGAGCAAGGACTCGGATACCATAGTGGTGAAGTTTAAAGTAAGAGGTAGTTATGATTTACATTATCGTTTTTATTAATTAATAGTATATATTACGCGTTTACCTCTAGTAATTATTATATACAAGTATAAATATCACATAATAAATGTAATAGGAGTTTACTCCCACACTGGCCACAGTGAAGTGTTTTGTACGTTCGATCATGTTTGTGGTAGTGTTTTGTGCGTTCGATCATGTTTGTGGTCACTGGGATGTGTAATGTTTACGCTGATGGGCGGCGTTCTTACTAAGCCCGGATTATGTCCATCGCATCACTAAATCTCAATTAATAATTAACTGTTAATAGCACTATATTGTGGTTTTAATATTGAATAATTATATATATACGAAACCTTCAAAATTCTGTGTCCGAAATGATAAAAATATGTGTGATCCGTACTCTGGAGTAAGAGTGTAGTATCCATTCAAGTCCTGTTGAGTTGCTGGCGGAGTGGTGGTCTCTCAGTCACCTCTGGCCTCGCATTCCTGTTCTGGATATTGCCTTATGTGGCTGTGCCAGCTGTGTGTGTTGTGTGGTGTGCAGGTGTTCTTGTACTTGGAGCTACATGCGCCTAGGGCATCTTTCCCTAGGATCCCTAAGTCCACCCTTGAGTGTCAGGGCTGTCTTCCCTGGACGTTCGGGACTCACTCTCCGTTTGGGGTCTTCGTCGCTTGACATTGTCATCGCCCTTGGGGTGAGTCGGGGGTCTGGGGCTTTCAAGTCTTGCCCCGAGTCAGGGGAGTGTTCTTGGCTGAAGGAGAAGGGCACACTGAGGCTGGCATAGTCTGCTTACTACCTGTGCGACGGACGATGTTACTCTCCTGCTGCTAGTTTGCTTGTCGTGTGGTTTCGGGGCTTGCTTTTTTTTTTTAAAGGCGTTTTCCCAATGTGGACGGAGGAGGTCTGCTTAGCTGCTTATTAGGCTCGCCTTGATTGTGGTGGCTTTCCTAATCCGTTGCTCCCGAGGTTTCACCTCTGCTACTAATAGTTTGCCTGCTTCCAAGCAGGGGGTCTACTGGCTTGGCTGGTCCCAGTGCCTGGGCATCCTGTAAGGCTGACATACCCTGCAGACCCTGGAAAACTCCCGTGAGCTAGGTTGGTAACATGGATCCGCCCGAGCCCACTCTCGCCTTGTGCGAATGTGAAGGTTGTTTGTCGCCCCTGCCTCAAGGAGACAATCATCCTTTCTGCCTCCACCATGCAGCCTGTTGGGTCGGTGACACCTACGACCCGGAGTCTTGCGAGACTTGTTCCCCGCTTGTGTTTCAGTTAACCCATTCCTCATCTGCAAATGATAGGATTCAGGCTGCGGCAGCATTGCATGCTCACTTCTCTCTCATGCAACGTGCCAGGTTGATTGCCCGGTTGAAGGCCCCAGAGCTGCCCCGTTTGGGGTTTAGGGACCGGGATTTGGGGCCATTGCTCGCTTCAATCTTGGTTCCATCCATGCCCCTGCTTCCTTCCCAGATGGGCGTGGTTCGCTCTGTTCCTCTTCCGGCTCCCAAACGCCTGAGGGTTTCAATGTCAGGGCAGTGTTTAGATCGAGATGAGACTCGTGTGGCTTCGGGGGCTGCCCCTTCAGATTCCGGCGCGGAAGTGGCTGAGCCCGCTCTTCCTGCTAAGGCTTCCAGTTCATCCCAGCCACCTAACGTATCGAAAGCCTTTCCCTTGGACTCTACCTTTTCTTCAGGGGTGGTGGGCGCGGAAGAGGACTCTGCCTCAAGGCCTGTGTTGGGGGTTCCCCGGGCTCGGGGGGAATCTGCTTGGAGTGCTTGGGCTCCTTTTGACCCTGCTTGGGCCCTTGTGCCTTCTGGGCAGGGATTGTTGCTGCAGGGGAAGGGTTTTTCGTATCCTCCTTCCCTGTATGAATTTGAGTTGGATGCGGCTCCACCCCGAGTTCGTTTCCGGGTGCCTTTGGGTTCCTTGAATTCATCTTTCCGGAGGTTTCCTCCTTGTCGGATTTCCCCTGGGGAGGTTCGGAAGGCCCTTGGTGCGTACCTCCTGCGAGACCCAGTTTACGCCTCTGTAATGGATCCATCTTCTTTTGAGTTTGGTTCTTCTTTCCCATATTGGGTGCGTTATGAAGTTCCCGAGTCTTCCTTGCTGGCAGACTGCCCTCTTTTCTCTCTCAAAGCTTGGCGTGGCTTTTGTCGTACCCGTAAGCTGAATTCGCAGGAGGTTTCATCTGAGGTGCAGGTGTTCTTGGGGGGCTCGCTCGAGTTCCTCAATGAGTGCCTCTTCGCTCCTATGCTTCCTCGTGATGTGGGTCTGGTGCAGTTGCATGCTCAAGTTCCAACTCTTTCAGTTGCTTTGGCGGCTGAGGACCTCCGGACTCGCAGTCATTTGGCTTCGGTCCTGCGTTTTTTTGGTCTTCTGGAGCTCCACTCAAAATTTCTTTCTGAGGATGTAGGGGCGTTGAGTGAGGGGCCTTCGACTGGGGTTCTGGTGTTGGCTGCTCGGGCATCATCTGCCTTGCTTAAGCTGTTTGCACCGATCCTCCGGGAGGCGGTTTCAACGTTCTTCTCCTCTCGCCTCGCATGTCGGCAGGCTGTGCTGGCTCTGTCTCCGAATTCGGCTTGGGCCCTGGCTCTGCAGTCGTCTTCGCCATTCTGTCCTCTGTTGTTCCCGGAGGATGTTGTGGCTCAGTTTCTTTCGGTGATTTCAACTAGTTGCCGTCCTGTTTCGGACTTGTTTGTGGTACGGGGGAGCCGTTCTCGTTCATCTCGATTTGGTCGTACCAGGGCTCGGGTCTCGGTTGGTCGAGGTAGACCTTTGGTGCCAGTGGTTGCGTCAGTGGGCTTTCCTGAACCTTCGTCATCTGGTTGGCGCGGTGTTCGGTCTGTGCGCCAAAAGGCTTCTCGGCGTTTGCATCGGCCCTTTCGCAGGTCGCCCCGTTAACGGGGCATTGGGGGGAGGCTGGCTCTTTTTTGCCTGTGCTTGGTCATGTGATTTGTGGGCTTTTTGGGTCGTTTCTTCCAAACTCTGGTGGCGTTGGGTGGATCATCCCGCCATGGGAGGGTTGGGCCTGAGGGGGCAGCCTTCTTCCCTGTCCCTCAGTCGGGTCATCTTGGAGTGGCTTCGCTTGGGCGTGGTCAAAACAACTTCATCTCTCAAGTGGATTTTCTGTTTGTTTCCAGATCTGAAATGAGACTGTGCGGATCTCCGGTACATTCTGGACTTTCCTGAACCGGTTGATTCCTTGCCCTTCTTTTTGGATGATCACACAATCCCAGGTCCAGCTCGTTCTCGAGCCAGGCACTTGGATGGTTTCCCTGAATCTCTGGGATGCTTATTGGCACATCCCTATTCATCCGGGATTCAGGGATTAGTTGGGGTTCCAGGTGGGGCGACAGGCTTACCGCTATCTTACCTGCTTTTCGGCTTGCATCCTGCAACTCGCATTTTTACGTGTCTCACTCGGATGGTAGTAGCCCATATGTGTCTGCTAGGTCTTCGGGTGTTGGCCTACCTTGACGATTGGTTGGTGTGGGCTCCCAGCCAGTCTGCTTGTCTGCTAGCCAGGGATCTGGTTCTTTAAGCACCTTAAGAAGCACCTCAAGGTTTACCAGCTTGCCGGGTTCGGGTTCCTGGTTAATTGGCAGAAGTCCCAATTGGTTCTGTCCCAGGTTCGGACTTGGCTGGGCCTCGTATGAGATTCTTGGACATTGTCCATCTCTCTCCCTTCTGTGGCTCTGCTCTGGTTGCAGTCTGGCTTCAGTTGTTTTTGAGGGAGACCCAGGTCACTCAGGAGTTGCTTGAGCGGCTGTGCCGGTACTGTATCTTCGGAGTCGCCACTTTCGCCGCACTTGCGACTGTTTGGTTTGCACCCTGGGGTCCTTGTGTAGGTTGCTGCATCACCAGCTTCCACTTTGGGTTTTTCGGGGTTCGGTCACTAGTTCGGGCAGGGGCGCTGGGGTAGTCCTTCGGCCAGGCTTACAGCACGGTGCGGGTGTTTGCGTTGGTGTGCTGGATTCAGCTTCCTTGGGGCTCTTTGATCTGGCTCCATTCGGACTGATCATTGTCTCAACCGTGAGGGGATCTTTTTGGTTCATGGCTCTTTGGAGCCAGTCGCTTCGGGTAGCTCTTCTGCTGAGTTCTCGGGGTTTAGCTCTCCATGTTGTTTACAGTCAAGGCGTGTCCAACATTCTGGCAGAGATGGCCTGGCCCGTTTCGTTCCTCTTTCCACAGAGTGAACAGTCGACACCGCATCCTTCCTTTGCCTTTGCTGGATGTATGGGAAGCCGAAGGTGGACCCATTGAACATGGTGCCATTCCCTGACTGCGAGTGTGTTGCTCCTGGTCCTGGCTCGCTTAAAATCCTATCAGGGGAGAGTTCTTCTCCTGGCTCCATGGTGTCTGGCCCAGCCTTGGTTTCAAGTGCTGCTTGCTCGGTGTCCGAACCCGGGCATCTTTACATGGCTCTGCCTCTACCAGCAGATAGAGGCAGTGAGGCACCTTGCTGGTACGCGTTACTGTTCCGTACTTCGTGTCTGGTCTTTCTGATGCGGGTGTATTGCTATTTCTATGGTCTTCAGGTGGCTTCTTTGATGGTATCCCACCTATGGTCGTCTTGGTGACAGCATGAAGTCTCTTGGCGGTCTTTCTATTATTTTCATTCTTTTCGAGGGTTTTCATCAATTTCGAACTAGGTTGTTTTGTTCTTTCTTTCATGGCCTGGTTGAGGACTGGGTCGCGGGAACGTTGAATTTCGCTTCTATCGTGCGATGTTGGCGGAGCCGCTCTAGCTTGCATTCAGGGTGGATGTTACTTCTGCCCCTTTCTGCAAGAGTTCATGTGCGTTTTTACACCTCTGGCCTGCTCGTGCGCCACCTGAGCCTTCCTGGTCTTTGGACCGGGTTCTTTCTTTACTTCTCCTCGTTTTGTGGCGGCCCCCTTTGGTTGGCGATTGTTTTTGGAAGGCCACAAACATTTTTGTGGCCTTCCAGAAAAGAAGTTGGCCTTTTTTTTTTTTTTGACTTGGAATCTTAGGCTCCAGTTGAGGAGCTTCAGGCTCTCCTCCGGTGCTGAGGGTTCTGTTCATTTGGTCCGGGTGGTCATTTTGTTTGGCTGCAGGCTTCTCCTTCTTTTCTGGCAAAGAATGAGACGGCAGGGCATAACATGTTGTGTCTGGTGGCGGCTTTACGCCGCTACCTGCAGGCCACTGGTTCGGTGACAGTGGACAATCTTTGGGTGGATCCAGTTTCCCCGGGCTCGTGTCTCAGGTTGTCCGCAGTGTCAAAAGTTCCAGCCAGCCTGTGGTCTACCCTCGTGTCAGTGAAATATGGAAGTATGCGGCGCTTGCCACGGTTTTTGGGAACATGTCTTGGGTTGACATTCTTGGCGTGGGGGTTTTGGAGGTTGAATAGGGTCCTGGCTGCCAGATATCTAGTGAATGTTCCGGGCCCTTTCCGGCCTGATGCTGCAGCTGTCGGTCTCTTCTTTGACTTGAGCCCTTCTGTGTTGCTGCTTCTCTGGTAAGTCCCCGTTTTCTTTATCTTTTGGTAGTTAGCTTCAGGGAGCCGACTGGGCTACCCCAGAAAACTAATGTTGAATATAATGGTGTTATTTTCTGGGCGAAGCCACAGAGGCTTCCTGACATTCCCTGTCGGTCAGTGTTTTTTGTTTTTTACATAATGCCTAGAACTGATGTGGTGAGCTTGAGTATGCCACTGCTTTTTAAGCTTGAGGATGCCACTCTTTTGTAAGCTCGAGGATGCCACTGCTTGGTAAGCTTTTATATATAATTGCACTGCATTCCTAAATCTGCAAACAGCAGAATGTTATTCAAGAAGCAGTGAGCATTAAGAATTGTACAGTATATTAATGAACAACACAAAGTAGCATGGTGTGCTGGCATGCTCTGGTGACAGTTAATTTGTTTTCGATTTAGTGAAACTTTGTTTTGGTGGCCTAATACCAGAGCACTGTTTTGTATGGCACCGATGTTTGGCCATACAGTATAGTGTTTTAATCATGACCCACATTTCAATGTAATTGTTTAAGTGTAATTAACTAAGTGTAGTTACAGGATGAGAGCTACGCTCGTGGTGTCCCGTCTTCCTAGTGCTCTGTCGTATAACGCTTTGAAACTACTGTACTGACAATTTTGGCCTCCACCACCTTCTCACTTAGCTTGTTCCAACTGTCTACCACTTTGTTTGCAAAAAAAACTTATTAATATTTTTTCAACATTTTTGTTTCCTTAACTTATCTTCTAGTTTTGGCATGTTTAACGCCTCTAGTCTCTCCTCGTAACTCATGTTTCTCAGTTCCGGAAGCCATTTTGTAGCATGCCATTGCATTTTTTCCAGGTTCCTTATGTTTTTGAGATATGAGCACCATACAACTGTTGCATATTCAAATTTTGGTCTCACAAAAGTCACGAACAGTTTCTTTAGCATTTCCCCATCCGTATACAGTACTGTAAAAAGCAAGTCTGACGTTGGAAAGCAACGCATACGCTCCTCCTACAATGTTCTAAAAGCGTTCCTCTGGCAACAGCTTACTATCCAAAACCACTCCTAGGTCTCGTTCCTTATTAGAGTTCTGTAATTTCTTTCCACATAATTTGTAAGTTGTGTGTGGTCTATTTTCTCTGAATCCACATTCCATAACTTGGCATTTATTCACATTGAATTCCATTTACCACTTCACGCTCCAAGCTCTTATTTTATGTAGATCAATTTGAAGGGCATTACAATCATCTGTGTCTCCTATCTTCCCCAGTATCTTAGCATCATCCGCAAACATGTTCATATAATTCTGTGTTCATTCTGGTAAATCTTTTATGTAGACAGTGAATATTACTGGTGCAAGAACTGAACCCCTGTTGTACTCTGCTAATAACACTTTTCCAGTCAGATACATTGTCTCTGATTACTGCCCTCATATCTATGGCAGAAATTTTTTCATCCATGTCAGAAGGGAAGGGTACTGTCAGGGGAAAGTGCCAAGCCATTAAACTACAACTGGGGGCCTCGACTTACGAATTTAATCCATTCCCAGAGATGGGTTGCAAGTCGAAACAAATTTTCCCAAATAATGTAAATTGAATTAATCCATTCCACAGCCCCAAAAATATTAACTTAAAAATACATTTTATACTGAATAACACTACAATACAGTATGTATAGCTTACTTTGAATGAGGACTCTTGTTGGCATCTGGAAGAAGGTGAGGAGGAGGGGAGGAGAAAAGGTGTTAGTGTTTGGAAGGGGAGTCCCCTTCCATTATAACATCAGGCAGTGATGACTTTTCTGGGATACTCTCTTTCCTACATTTTGGCTGCATACCACTAGGACCTGCTTGTGGCTCACTGCTTGTTTTTCTCACCAAAAACTTGTCTTAAGGACTGCACATCCACGTGAAAGTCAAAACAGAACAAAATAAATCAAATATTTGTTTTATCCAACAAATAATGCAAGTGCTATTTTTTTTTTTTTTTTATTTTTTAGGCATGTGACTGAGTACTGGTGACCAGTCGAGTATCGTCAAAATATCTGTAGGCATTATTTATAGTAATGGTTACAAGCCAGACCTTATTCTTTGTTATATTTAAAGATGAATAATGATAAGTCATGTGTCCTAGTCTGTGTATAAAATGTCGATATTGATACAATGTGTAAATAGATAACAAAAGAGGCGTTTGTGATGCTCGGGGATTAGATAACATATACTGTATATAGTACAACCGTTGTTAGGATACACCGCCTACCTAATCATTTTATCTCTGAAGTGGTCAGATATCCTACTCATCAAAACCAGATATTGAATCAGTGAATCTAAACAAAATTCAGCATTTAACTTTTCAGTTTCGAACATTGGACAAAAAGAGCATTCCATACAGATCAAGAACATTTATTCCTGTCATTTCTAGTCAGGTGCCCAATGATGAATTATAGACACCTAATAGGAAATAACTAGCATGAGGGGCTTTTACAGTGAAGTGCTTTATCTTTTCTAGGAGATGCCTCCAGCATTGTTAAGGCAATGTTCTAGTAGGTTTGCTTGTAGTTGTTTGGATAAGTTGATCATGGTGATGAGCCTGCAAAAAATGTCCTACCTGAATCCTTCAGTGAACTTGGGATCATGAATCTCGGTGAAATATCCGGTGTTTTGGTAGGATCTCTCCCACTAGTTCACTAGTTGCACTTCATAGGGTTAGAAATGCAGGCAGTGCAATCTATCTGCATTACCTTACTGATCCCTACATCACCACATCTAACTGGGAGCATTGGTTGGTCCCATTGGACATTTTTCAGGGGGAAGGTTTGACACTTTCAGGAGTTTGCCATACTTTCTCAAATTTTTTGCTGTCAAAGTGTGTGCACTTAAAGAAATAGATAAACCTGCGCATGGCTGTACATCTAATTGTGAAGAGATACAAAGCTTTGTGAATGCTCATAACACTTGTTCGTTCTTCCATCCTCCTCAGGTCGCTTAGTTTTTCTTTAACTCGACACATTCTGTTAATGGAAGTTTGCACTGGGTTAAAACAAAAAAATTATATACTGTACTATAGTAAAATTAGTGCAAAAGAAAGAATAAATGTTTTAAATAATTCTGCTAACCTTGTATCCATTATCTTATCTTTTTCAGGAACATTTCTGAGCTGAAATAATGTACTGAACAAACTAAGCAAGAATCTATGTAACAACAGGAAGAAAAGTTATTCTGATTCATTAAAACTGAAAATATTTGCATTGTATATCTTTTAGTACAATAATACTCTACACACTTCATTACAAGATACAGTATGGCCAGTTTACATCAAATATGTGTAATGATACTGGGTACCTTTTCCTGTGTCAGTGGAGGACTTCATTCCTTCACTGCAGGAAACACTGATCAGGATTATTCTCCACTACACAAGTCAAGAGACACTAGTCTCCCCTGTTTGTGTAGTAATCCGTTACTCTGCATGCCACTTGGGAAAGCTGTTCAAAGACATCCTTTGGCTCCACATGTTCAAGAATTCTTAAGAAAATCTCAGGAAAAGGAAGTAAGTATAACATAATATAAGTTTAATATTTTTTTTTACAATACATGTATGGTAATTTTGTGGCTTGTACAAAGGTGCACCGGTTTTCAACTCTTGCCAAAAAAATATACGAAATGTTGCCATAACAAAAGTAGTATGCAAAAGACAGCTAATGCTAATGCAATTGTAAGGATATATTATTGTTGTTTTTATAAATGTTTGGCTTAAAGTTACTGTCAATGTTTCCAAACTCAACCATTTTCATTTCAAAACACACAGTGATGAAAACCTTAAAAATCATTAACAAGTAACCTAATTAAAAAAAGTACAACTTTCAGAGTGCCCTGTGCAGTACAGTGGTTAAAGCTCATATTTGAACACATTATGCTGCTGTTTCCATAGATATATAGCAGTGATTACTTGTCAAGTCAGAATCATGACATTTGGACTCGACATGCAGCACTGATTCAATACAATAACCTACTAGCATCATGGGGTTCCCCTTCATGGACCTTGTAGAGGCTCTACAGAGGCACCAGAGACTGAATCAATCTGGCTATGATAACAGATATTCAGAAAGTTTCTCAATCCCAGGCTTAGCCAACTTTCTACAAGTTACTTTCCCACTGTAATGTCAGTTTTCGTGCCCGTGAAAGGGAAGTAGGGTAAACGTTTACCAGGCTTACTACAGTGTGAGCTAAGCACTCCTACCTCATTCCTTCTAATAGCTGATGATTCAGGGACCAAACTCTTAAGCCTCCTTTTCCATCGAACTACTTGAAATAATAATGCATTAATTTTTTTTAACACAAATGTACATACATGTGATACATGAACAGAGGAAGATGCATAAGTAAGACAAGTACAATGCATAAAGCTAACAATGTGCAGTACATTTCAGGTATAACTTAAGATAATATAGTTAGGTTGGTTAAAGGTTTGATTAGGTAGACAATACTAACAAAAAGAATGCTAACATAAAGGTTGTTCAAGCATTTAGTAAATGATATACAGCTTTTAGGGAAGGTATAGCATAAAAAGAAGAAAATGAACAGGTGTAATTAGGAAACACACTGTACTTAGATCTGGGAACATTATTGATGTTTGGAGAGGCCAGACCCTGAACCCTTCCCTACTTAACATTGCACACTGTTGTGATGACACTCCTGATTTTAATCAGGAGAGGCTGGAATGCTAAACATGAATCGGAGAGCGTTCTCTGAACGTCCTCCTCGGATAAAATCAGACTGCAAACTGGGCAAGAATGTAGCAGCAAAATTGCGAGCAATGATTCTTAATAGATGTGCAGCACTGCTAATCCACTGCCAAGGAAGAAAACCATTGCCTCTTGCTGTAAGTTAGTATCTAGTAGTCTAGACTGATTCAGGCTTAGGTCCTTGCAGATAACCAGTGTGTTCAAGCATACTTGTCTCATAAGAGCTCCCACTGCTAATGATCTAGTAGATCACCAACACTGGGATCTACCAGTAGATCTGAACTCTACTGTTCACTCAGGTAGAGTTCAAAGTAGCAATTTCTCAGCTACTGCCACCCTAGGTAACGAAGGTCAACACTTGGCCAAGGTAGTGCCCAAGGGTATCGAAGGTCAACACTTAGCTTCAGAATTAGTCCCAGTTTGCCCATCTGCCATGGGTGCGGTCAGGATGTATGTGAGGTTGCTGGGGAAGAGTATGACCTAACTTGTAGGGTTGCTGCTACCTAGTTTGAATTGGGAGTACTGTACATACTTGGCAGTAGGTTTTTTATTTGTGGATTGGCTATACAGTATTGAGCTACTTTTGGCAGTCATATGCTATATCACTGAGACATAATTACCCTTGGCTTGAGTATACATCTATCTGAAAACATCTTATAAGGGTACTGTATGATATACATAGTCCTATTAGCATCAGTGCTGCTGCACTTTTCACTGCAAAGATCACATATCTATGGGAGCAACAGTATAATGCAGCACAGAAACTCTATTAATATTCTTATATTTATATTTTTCAAATTTAGGTTTTTGCCTTTGTGCTTGATTGTGATCCATCTGTTTGGGGAAAATTCAACTGGTCTAAACTGTCAACTATTGCTCTTGCTGGCTTCTATGATCTGGACCTTCTTTGTCATGCACACGAACATGGAGTCAAAGTTGTTAGATTGGGTAAGGATTTTCTTGGATTCTCATGCCACATATTTTTGCCCTGATGCTCTTACATCTTTCCTGTCTTGGGTGAGGATCATGTAGTGTATGTTGAAAAGGAGTGCTTCCTTATGTTTTTCCTCAAAAGCACTTCTGTTGATAACCAAGACTACCTGCTACTGCCTGCTTATTCCTCCCATCAGATCAAATCTCTATGAATATACTGAATAATATACTGTAGTATTACTGTATAGTACTGTATAAATAAATTGTCCATACTGTACTTATTTCATGTCTGATGCAACTTTTACATGAAACAGGTAACATCCCTACAAGTGATCTTCCTAATGCTACGGCACGCCATAATTGGGTAAAATTACAAGTTAGTGATGCTGCTTTGAATTTCTTAGATGGAATTAACATAGACTTTGAAGATGTTATTAATCCAGACTCTCCTGAACAAGAAGGACTAACTAATCTGGTGCAAGAAACAGCAGAAATGTTTCACACAGCTTTACCTGGGTCACAGGTTAGTGGAAAGATTTAATCATGATCTTGTAATTTATCTTGAACAATCACAGGAGAGCTGTATTTAAGGTTGCTCTCACTCCTGAGCTTATTGCTTATCCCAGATATATCTGAGATCAGCCATTTACATAAGTTGGTAACTCTTATTTCATCACTTAAACTTAGTAATTGAATTTGGGTATATAGTAGTACTGTATTGCTTAGGGAGAGGAATACGCTTTGTGAATGATGATAAACTTATCTCCGAGAAGGTATTTTACATAGCACTCCCACTTGCACTATTATACATAGCACTCCAAATTTCAAAGTAGAAACAATGTTCTGGTTGCTGCTGGTTCCACTGGATATTTACATAAAATTTCTGGCCAGTCTAGTGGGCTTATTATTATTATTATTATCACCACCACCATCATGATCAACAAAAACAGGAATTTCTTTACATTCAACATTGGTTTTTTTTTTGTATGTGGAACCAATTACCACATAACATAATAGAAGATGGATCCTTTGATTGTTTCAAGAGTAGGTTAGACATACAGTATACTGTATATGAATGAGTTTGAGTGGATATAAATAGGAGCTGCCTCGTGTGGGCCAAAAGGGCTTCAGCAGTCTCCTCGATTCTTATGTTCTAGAATCTAGATGGTTCAGCACTTTTGTTTTTTCTGGTAACTCTTGGATATTTTAGACTTAAAATTTTAGTGATTATATTTTTAAAACTCGCTCATCAATAATTACAGTGTACTATTTAGCATCTCTATACTTGTATTTAGCTTTATTGAATACATTAATTTTCCAGGAACAATTTATCATAGAATATATAAATTTATATATTTTTAAAGTTCTCACAATTGCAGGTATCATTTGATGTTGCATGGTCTGCAAATGGGATTGATGGAAGATATTATGACTACAAATCAATTGCAAACTACAGTGATCTTATTTTCATCATGGCATATGATGAGCAAAGTCAGATATTTGATGGCCCGTGTACTGCTAGGTAAATATGATGCTGACTGGATTTATAAACTTAATACTGTATATCATATTTTGACACCAGTTTAAATACACCTCATCTACATCAACCATTTATAACTAAACATTAGAGGGTACTGTATCATTATGTATTGTACACATGGATGACAAACCCGTCGATAGTTTCAAAGGGTCATATGACAGAGCACTGGGAAGACAGGACACCACGAGTGTAACTCATCCTATAACTACACTTATGCAGTTACCGAAGTGTAATTACCTTATCTTATTGAATCGCCTTCACTAGCATGTAAACTGTTTGTGTAGATGTTAATTTTAAAATATCACATTTTGCGGGAAGAGTTTTCCCCAGGGATGTTTAACAAGTGTTGTTGTTGTCAACACTTGTTAAAGTATTGGCAGGAGGAAATTTTAAGCTGTAATGCAGCTCAATTGATCCTGAATTTAATGTGTAGCAAAGAAGTTTTCCTTGGAGTTCCCAAAGTACTGGAATAATTTGTTTATACAGTACTATATATCAATTCATTTGTAAATGTTTCATTTGTGTATGTCAACTTGATCTTAAATAATTCTGTTCTTAATATTTGTGTAAACATTACTTAACTGCAAAATACAGTGTAGTAGCCTTAATTTTAAAGGTGAGAGTATGATATGTATTCTTAATTGTTCATCTTGATTTGGTTTCCTGTTGTTTGGAGACAGAAAGCATATATATTATACAGTACTTAAACCTATTGAGGTCCACCTAGGCCATATATTGACTTTCCCCAGAATGCACTTCACAAAAATTTTCTAACTTCTGGGTTCCAGTTTTAGTGCTAAGTGAACAAAGGCATCAGGGAAGAGAAAATGTCCCCAACTCTGTCCTACAAGCAGAAATCGAACCCAAAACCCTCGGTTATGAGTTGATGTAGACAACTCGGCTTTTGTATAACATAAACAATTTATTCTGAGTAAAGACCAAGTTATGTCAGATTTACATTGATATTAATAAGTACAATCAACTATGTGTTCAGAGCAATAAAGTGGGAGGAGATTGGGTTGGAAACCAATCATCTCCTATTTCCTTCCCACAAAAGGTCAAGTGCCTCCTAAGCCC